GGAAAAATTGGGTTTTCCGGAATTTTCCATGGTAAAAATGCTAATTATCTGGGCAAGTATCATTCTGATAGTAAAAATAAATGCACCAATCGAAAGAGGAGGCAAAAATAGTTCGGAATTTCATTGCACAGGTAGTTTTAATGGCGAATTTCTCACCGCCAGAAGTGCTTTTACCAAAAAGTTGTTTTTTCGTTTCTTTGATCAGAATCATGAACATAAAATTTGCGATGAATTTGTGGCGAAATTATAAATGTTAGACATATGTGCCGATGAGAGAAGTTGCGTATTTTTTTGTGGGCTCTCAAATAAAATAAGTCCCGCGGCGAAATTTGCCATAATTTTTCGGGAATTCGCAGGAAACCGGAAGGCGTAAATTTTTTTTAATTTTTTTCCCATATGATTTTCTCCGGGTTTTCCGAAAATATCTAACAAAAAATATATTTGAAGAAACTAACTGCGCCATCGGAAAGAGCACAAAAAAATATACAAAAAGGTATACTTTAAAAATTAATCCTAAGCTTGAGTGTAAGTTCCAACTTGGTGATAAGCTTGTTTTTGTTCTCTAACATCTGGTTTTCTTCTCGGTTGATGCTCCATTCTCCTTTTTTTTGGCATTGTCAATCGTGGTCCTTTTATGCCTATCCCAGGTTTTATAAATAAACTCTTTTCTGTAACGTCGAGCTACGTAATGTTTGCGACACCTCTCATGCAATATAAAACCTGGTTCTAAAGAACTGAAAACATCATCCCCTCTCTCTTTGCTGACCATCTGCAGACCTTTCAATCCTGTCGGTCTAATTGGGGTAAGTTCACCCTCTGCAAGTTTCAGATGACATAATAAACACAGGCCAGCCATTGCAACCTGGAAACAAAAAAATTATAGCACTGTGATAGAATTTTCTTAATTTAAGAACATACTTACTCAATAAATTGCTGAAGAAGTCCGAAAAACCAAGTGTACACAGAGCTTGCTGAACACGATTATTAAAAATCTATGCCGATGAACACTATCAAGTGATTTAATTTGTAATAATATGACCGTTTCAAGTTTAAACTTGTCGGATAGCGAACGCCGAGACCATGGCTATCCTTGATACGACGTCCGGCTAATTTTGCGGTAATTCTATTTTTTGCACAAAACTCAAGAAACGTCTTATAACAAGTCAGTAAAATACAATTTAATAAATTTTAGGCCTAATAAATTTAGGTATGTAAGAAATTTAAAACTGGAAATCACAAAAAAATCAAATTACAGAAATGCACGAGTTTTGGATCCCGCGGAGCGCGTGTAATGGGACTTTTGTCGGGAGAATTCTACAACTTAGAAGAAACATACACACTTTAAACTTTGTATACACATTCAGAAGACAAGAGATTTGGGTTTGCTTTATTTTCAGACAAAAAAACTGAAAATCGTCAATTTTAGGCAACTTTTCTCAAAAACCGTGTTTTTTGGTCGTCACTCAATGAACAGTGGTCAAAAAAATAGATAAAATATTTTTGCAGAATTTTCCGTAATGTAATCGTAGACATAATAGAGTATTAAAAAAAAAGTTTTGAGTCAAAAATGTACCTACATTTTTGGCATTTTTGTGCCACTTCAAACTTTCGAAAAAAAGTTTTTTTTTTAGGGAAAAAAATTTGTTAAATTGTTTGATATCTTGGCCAATTATAATCCGATTTCGGTAAAATTTACACACGTATAAGATTTCATATTTAAGAGTAAGCTCTATAAGTGGCATTAAAAAAATTTAAATAGTTTGGCTGTTATAGGCAAACAATGAAATTAGGCTTGCGATACACTTTGCCCTTCCGCCATATGCCCAATTTTGGAATTTCTCTTGTCCTCTTCTGGGAATCAATAGTCACATCCCTTAAGTTCAAAACGAAATTTTGTTTCTTTAAATATCTTAATTTTTATCAAAGTTATGAAGAATTTAGTGTTTGAACATTTAACAAATTCAATTTTTCGACCTTCGCCGCCTCAAAATACTAAACAAATTTCAATCGTCCATACCGCGAGAATGGTGCATCGGATCAAAATTTCTCAAGAGACATAAAAATTAGCATTTTTTCTAAGCTTTCAAATGTCGTAAATTGCGTTTTATAAATATTGATTTATTTGCGACATGCGCATTCGCAAAATTGAAAAATTCACAAAATCCAAAATTTCGGCACTTTCGAAAAACTGCTACATTTTTTGCCTTTTTTCGAAAAGATCACCTCAAAATACATAGAATCCATTTTGTTTCATTTAATTACAATTTAATGTAAGCTCAAAACCGGTAATTTAATTCGATTACCTACTATAAGTGTTTCTATAGATATTCATTGAAAACGAAAATATTGAAAAATTTAAATTTAGCACTTTTCCTCCAATTTTTCCATTACGGTCCATTTTAAAAAAATCATGTAAAGACAAAAATTGTAAAGATCGATATCGCTAACAACTTTTAGTTTAACAATCAGAATTTTTCAATTTTGTCAAATTTCTCGAATACGGATGACCATTTCAGGAAAATTTGACATAAAACAAAAATTAGGTATATATAATAATATTAGAAGTAACTTTTTTCTACACCCGTATTATAATAATGCACTTATATGCCCATAATCCGTTTCATAATGATACCCATTATGATACAGATTTTTCATTACGATACAGATTTTTAATCAATAGAAACCTACAATTTTTCAATCAAGCATGCTGTTTGACGTTTGTCCTAGGTTCCTATGTAATTATTTTAGTTGTCAAAACGTATTAAATTTTCGTAGGTAGCTAAACTTCGATAATTATAATATTAAAATGTCTGATATTAGCGATATAGAAGACTCCTCCACACATATCGGAGAAAGCAGAAAATACAGTACAAAATATTTTACCGCAAAAATCTAGGGAAATACCAATACCTGAAGTAATACCATTAATTACAATTTTGTAGAATTTTTTATAGAAATACGAGTAATTACTGTTATTGTGTTCAATACCAATATAAATATAATATTTATAGGTCTTGATTATTTATCGGGTGTAGAAAAAATAGCGTATGCAACTCTCATGTAATGGTTATTAAAACACTCGCATAAACCATACGAAACTCGCCTTTGGCTCCCCAGACAGCACACCAAATCCTTTGGATATCTACTGAACATCCCAATATCCACTGAGTGTCCAGTCCATGGTAGATATATATTTTATATCCATGAGATGTAATTTATAGACATGCAAATGTCCATAAATAATAGTAATTATATAACAAATTATTAAAAAATTACGCCATTGTTCTCGCCATTGTGGCTAATAGTACCGTTCAGATATTTAAAATTAATTTTTTTAAGGTGTATTCAATATCCCATGAACATCCACTAAATATATTAAAGTCTAGGCGCGAACGCAAACCATCGTGGATATCCACTAGATGTTATTTGATTCTGCTTACTAAGTATAGATGGCGATACCACTATCGCATCTACTCATGCTCGACCCGCCGTAATAGAGTTCGATCGAAATTTTTGTCCTACAGACTCCATTAGAGGCTGGAGTCGAGAATTTCCATCTATTGCTGAAGAGTCCTAATAAGGATGACTTTCTCCTTAGTGGCCAAAATCAAAGGCAGAGTGTTGAAAATATTTTTAATCTCTACTATTTTCTTTCGACGTTATTCAATAATCATTGGTTACTTATGAACCTCTACTAAAGATATCCATAAAATATTTTGGTGGATATCCGAATATCTTCTATATCCTGGGATATAGACATTTGGTAGGATATCCATATTGGATATATTGAATATCCACAAAATATATTCTGTGGATATCTCTGTGATTTCTTGTATTTTCTGGAAGATACCCATTAGACATTTTGCTGAATATCCATTAGGATATCTTCTATATCCTGGATATAAGCGGACATTTGGATATCCATATTAGATCTACCGAATATTTCTGATATCCTGTGGATATATTGGATATCCACAAAAGATATTCTGCGGATATCTCTGGGATTTGGTGTGTTGTATGGGTCGTTTCGTATCCCGGTTAATGCTCGTGTATTAATAACCATCATTACATGATCGTTGCATAATATACTATTATTTAAACAATTTTCTTCTCCAAACATACATAATAGATATACCTATTTCATAAAATATAAAAACTGCCTCCCATAAATAAGTAAGCCCCCTCCCCCCCCCCCCAGATTTTCCGACTTTGTCCAAAATCTAATCATTTCACTTCAGGCCGAAATAAAACTTAAGTTTAAAATTTAATGTTTTTTCCTTTATACGAGTATGAGTTTTCTTCAAAATTCGAAATTACACATTTTCTCAAATTCGATATATTCGGCCCACATACTTTGATTTTCTTTTATATTCGGCCATATTCGATAAAATAAAATATCTTCAATGTTAAAGTAAATAGTAAAGTGCTCAATTCCATGTAGGAAAATTTTACAGGAGAGCCAAAAAATTAATTTATATTAAAACCCTTGAACCATTGTATAAATCTTGATCATTTTTTTTTATGAATTTGTTTTTATCAGAATTAATATAATTTGGATAAAACATGGTGAATTGGGATTCTTCGGTGTCCTCTACCGATGAGTAGCCAAACTGCATAGACACCTATCTTGTTAAGAGAGGGACCTTTAAAAACTAAATTATTAATTGTTAATAATAAAAATAAGAGAACCTATCATTAATTTAATATTATATAAATTATAAAAACTGTTTTTATAACTAAAAAATCTGGCTTCTATTTTATGTTTAGCGATTGCCAGACATAGAGACAACGGGCTGGACCTAATCTATGGGCTGGACTTTAATGAGAAGTTAATACTTTGTCTACTAGATGGCAAGCAAAGAAATTTACAGAATTCTTATTGAAAATTTGGACATTTGCAAAATACATGCTTTCAGATTCAGAGGTTATGTCAGGTTGTTTTAAATCAATTAATTAAAATATGCATAGTATTTTTAAATAAACATGATAATTTAACCAAAATGAAAGTAAAAGTGATAAGTAGGAACCCCGACGAGTATCTCCGAGAAACGAAACTCCAAATACATAAAGGTAAACATTGAATTAACTTAATATCATAAAGTATATTTTTCTTTATTTTCTAGTTCAACGCAACTACGACCCTAATTTACACCCATTCGAAGCCGCAAGAGAGTATGTGAGAGCTCTTAATGCAGTCAAACTAGAAAAAGTATTCGCAAAACCGTTTTTAGGAAGTTTAGATGGACACAGAGATGGAGTATCCAGTATTGCAAAACACCCAAAAAGACTTTCTCTCTTGATTAGTGGCGCGTTCGATGGTGAAGTTAGAGTGTGGGATATTCCTCAAAAGACTTGCTTGAGAGATTTTGTGGCCCACGATGGAATCGTTAGGGGTATTGTATATACCATATCTGGTGATCATTTCATAACAGTAGGTATGTTAGCTAGTATAATTTTATTGATTTACCAATAGTAGTCACTTTCTTTTTACCACTAATCTGAGCTAACTTACATTGACTAGGCTTAGTTGTACATTCTTTTTGTGATTGTAAGTCAGAATTACCGATTACACAACAAAATTTTCTTAATTCAACGAACATATCTTAAACCATGACTATCCATATCCAACATACCAAAACCCCATTGTATTAAAGAATTTACAACCTCAATTCAGAGGTGACCAAACTACTATATACTATCAAAATATTAATGGACTACATACGAAATCAGCTGATATTTTGAATAATATATATTCTTGTAACTATGACATTATCCTTTTAAGTGAAACTTGGCTTAATGAAGATTTTCATAGTTCTGAATTTTTCGGTGATAGATATGTTGTATTCAGGAAGGACAGAAATTATGCCCTCCTCAATTGCAGCTGAGGAGGTGGAACTTTAATAGCAACTTTACCTCATGTTACAACAGACAAGATTGATACTACAAAATCTATGCAATATGATGATATTTGGGTTAAGGCTAAAATAAACAATATCGACACGGTAATTGAATGTATGTATATTCCTCCAAACTCGTCATTAGAAAGTTATTTATCTTTTTGTGATTTATGTGAATCTCTAAAAAGCAAAGTTAAAAATCATAAATTCATAATATGTGGTGACTTCACACGTCCAATGGGAAATTGAAGATAATTTTGTTAATTCAACTAGAATTCAACCTGCTACCGCCGAGGCTTTAATTGATACAATTTGTTTCCATGAACTCAATCAAATAGAGATAATAAACCAGTTAATGTACCTACATCAGTTCCATAAAGCCAACTTCACTGGCCTAAACAATTTCTTTATAAACACTGACTGCTCATTCATAACTCATTACCATGACATCAACGAAATTGTAAAACAATTTTCCAACATCATAGAAATAGGTATCGACCAATATGTCCCAAAGAAGAAGATAAGAGGTAACAAATATCCTGTGTGGTTTGACGCTGTATTACGAAAATTGATTGTTGAAAAATATATCAGAGGACTAAGCTTCAAAGTGATTACATTAAATACTCAATTAAAAGGCGTGAAGTAAAATTTCGAACTGACTGTTACTTAATGTTTATTTTGAACTCCGAGCACTTAATTCCACAAAACAAAACATTTTTGAACATTTATTAAAAGTTTGCAGCGAGAGTACTGATTGCCTAATTTAATGAAGTACAGAAACTATGAAATTGCAAACACCTTCGCATCTTATTTCCAAACGTGCTATTCTAAAGACGACTTAAACCGAAAAATTGATCTTCTCGCTGTGCCATTTTATTCCACTTTAACCATACACACTTTCACTCCTTGTGAAGTATCTTCTAAAATAAAAAGTCTTGACTCTAGTAAAATTGCGGGCCCTGATGGGGTACCACAGTCGTTCTTTAAGGGGTGTTGTGACTCCTTATTAATCCCACTTAGTCAAATTTTCCAAAAATTATTTTATAGTGGAATATTTCCATCTACTTAGAAGTTTTCCCACCTTATGCCAGTTTACAAGAAAGGTGGTAAAAGCGATATAAAGAATTATAGAGGTATTTCCATTATATCGATAATTCCAAACCTATTTAAATCCATACTAACAGATGTTTTACATGTATAAAAACTATATCTCACCTCAGCAACATGGCTTCTATCAAGGTTGCTCGACATCAACTAATCTGGCAATCTATTAAGACTTCTTAATTTCATCAATTGAAAATGGTTACCAGATTGACACTATCTACACCGATCTGTCAAAAGCTTTTGACAGTGTCTGTCATGAATTGCTACTCAAGAAACTCCGAAATCGGTATCTCTGGTTCTTATTTTTACTGGATTAAATCTTATTTAAGTAATCGGTGTCAACGTGTCATAGTGCATAATTCCGTATCATGTGACGTTTCAGTCCTATCTTGTGTTCCTCAAGGTTCACATATAGGTCCCCTATTGTTTTCCTTATTCTTTAATGATTTTACATCCTGCTTTCTTAATGGCCAATGCCTTCTTTTTGCGGATGAGTTTTTTAGTAGAAACACTGGTAATAACTCCGCATTACAGTCTGACCTAAACAGGTTTGCTACCTGGTGTAAAAATAACGCTTTTTCTATAAATATTTCTAAGTGCACAACCATGCATTTTACAAGATCCCAAAATCCTACTCTTAACTGTTACAGTATTGACAGCGTCAACCTAGATAGATCCTCAACAGTTATTGATCTGGGCATTATTTTTGATACCACAATATCTTTTAACAACCATATAGATTCCATAGTATGAAAAGCCCTCAGAATGATTGGCTTCATCAAGAGATATACTAGGTACATTAATGACACAAAAGCAATCATGACACTTTACAATGGCCTGGTTAGAAGTATCCTGGAATAGTGTTCTGTTATTTGGCAACATACACCTGTAATTTCAATAGAATTGAAAGGGTGCAACGTAAATTCGTAAAATATCTGCTCTTTAAACACCGATTTCTTAGCCATAACACAAGTTATCAAATAAGATTAATGCTTTGTGGCATGCACAGCCTGGAATGCAGAAGAAAACAGGGTTTACTCCTATTCCTGACTAAATAAATAGGTGGTTCTATCAAGTGTGGGTCACTGCTTGAGAGAGTTCAACTATTGGTTCCTACCTGAATGACTCTGCACACATCACTTTTGAATGTAAAAAGACACAGAACCAATTATGGACAAAGTGCATTTATTGATCGCTTATGCAAGAACTATAACAAATTTTCCTCGGACTGTGATATGTTTAAGTGTAATATTTTGGCGCTGAAAAGGGACTCCTGAATATCTAAGTTTTACTCATATCGTCGCGCGGTGTTGTGTTATTCTTCCTTTTTTTTAATATTTTATATATATTTTTTAATTTATTTTATATTGTTTTTAACTCCTACAATTGTTTGTGTTAGGTTAGATATACTGTACTATTTGGAATTTTACATTCCGTAAGTGCTACATAAATAAATAAATAAATAAAATCTTTCTTCCCCCTTATAGATACTAAGGTACATGGATCTTAACGTCAACCATAAACCATAACAGAAAGTGAGTGTTCTGTGCATATACAAACATATCCTATGAATTCATTATTTTTGAGTGATTAAAAGACTATGATAACAGGGGGCAAGATCGTAGTTTTGAAGGTTGAAGAAATAAAATTTGATATAAAATGCCGCTTATTTTTAAAAGGATGACATGGAACACGTCGCCTTTCAACTAAAATTCGCGTTCTTTTTACGACTTAGCTTAGGTCAAAATTTAACTTTTACTTTTAGTCAAGAAAAGAAAACGACTGGTATAGCGTATCGCTTTTTATAGAAATTTACTTTGTATCATTTTACAGGTGATGATAAAACAATCAAGACTTGGAAGTCACTTATTCCACAATTTGGTGAAGAAGAAGAGCCTGTCAATACAATTTTGAGCAAAACAGTTGTTTCAGGTTAGTAAAAATTTGTATAATTGTCGCATATTAAGGGTGCAGAGTGAAAACACGATAGGTAAGAAAATTTAGGGTCGTGTTCTAGGTTGAGCTCTTTTCGGTTAGGAGTAAAATGTTCATTTTAATTTATTATACTAGCATGCGTGTTGTATTTATAATTTAAAAAAATAAATAATTATTAATTTTTATTATTTTTAGAAATTTTTGATTTTTATTAATTTTTATTTTTAGTAATTTTTATTAATTATTATTAATTTTTATTTATTTTTTTTTTAATTTTCATTAATTTTTATTAGTTTTTATTAACTTTTATTAATTTATATTAATTTTTATTAATTTTTAATAATTTTTATTTATTTTTATTTGTTTATTTATTTTTATTTATTTATTTTTAGTTTATTTTTGTTTTTTACGATACTCCCCATTTTTCTTCCTCCTTAAATTGTGAAAATCCAAAAACCTTGAAATACGTCATTATTTACTTAGGATGAGTAGCTACAATTCCAATTTTCAAATTTCTACAATTAAAAAACCGAAAACTTATTCAAATTTTCACCTTCCGTTTCCTTCCTTAATATGTAAAATCCACATACTTTAAAACAAGTCTATTTATTTATGAAGATTACCTACAATTCCAATTTTCAAGTTCCTACCATACAAACTTTCACCCCACACACATTTCCCCAATTTCCCCCATTTCTCTTCTTTCCCTCATTTCCCCTCTCATGTCCATTTTCCCTCTTTCCCCTCTTAATATATGAAAATCCGAAAACCTGAAGCGCACCATTATTTATTTGTGATGAGTAGCTATAATTCCACTTTTCAAGTTCCTACTTATAAAAAAATCGATGCTTACATGCAAACTTTTAATCCCCCCCCCCCCCCCCCCTTAAAATATGAAAAACCAAAAACCCTGAAACACGTCATTATTTATTTATGCTCAGTAGCAGTATTTCAAGTTTTCATGTTTCACTACCACTATGCAAAAAATTATGTCCGATCCCTTGCTCTGTAAAAAACAAAAACAAATCGATCCCACGGGAACCATACTTTTTTTTTTTCGGGATAAAAAGTAGCCTATGTGCTATTTCAGACTATAATCTATTTTTGTGCCAAATTTCATCCAGATCCGTTTGGCCGTTCTTGCGTAATTGAGCAACAAACATCAATCCATCCAGACTTTTGCATTTTCATATTGTTACGATATAAAATAATTAATAAATATCTAAATAAATAAATAAATTAAATGACGCCCAGTATATTATAAAATCCATCTAACACAATATTTTAATTATCAGCAATTTATTATTATCTAAACAATTGGTCAATATTAAAAACACCGTGGAGAATGCGAGAAAGAATGGATACGGGGTCATGCTGGCTTGGGGCGTCGACCTAGGGGGTTAAGTGAAATTAGGTAAAAAGTCAGGTTGTATCTAATAAGTGAACAAAGGGTGCCCTCAAAAGAATGTAAGTAGATTGTTCTTATTTTATTATGTCTATATTTTTGATAGTGGAAAATATAATTGGCTTTTTTGTAAGTGTTCTTCTTTTTCTGTGTTCTCCTCCAACCCTTTCTGGTAGTTAGTGGTTACGCTGACGGGGTTAATAAAACACCCCGTAGCATGTGGTGCCGGGCACCGATCCCGGTACCTCTCGCACAAGTGCATAGAACTTTTAATAATAGCACTTATATTGTTACTTTCAATAAAATAAAAAATGTATATAGATATAATCCTTATAAGTTCGTTATTGTTAGATAATCTAATTTTTTTTTGTTAAAAAAGAATAGCAATTTTGCAAATATTTTGTTAGTTATAAAAATATTATATTATTTGTATTGTGTTTTTTACATGTTTATGGAGAAGTGGACCCCCTCTGGAATGGTTTGATGGTTTGGACTCCGGATTAATCCAAGGCAACCCGGTTAAGCAAAGTATCCGGACAAACGAGAACAAAAAGGAAGTTAAACGAAATAAATAAGAAATCCATATAAAATAAATAAAGACATTAAAAAAGTATAATAATGAAAAGAAGATAAAGAAGAAATTAAAATATAATAAGAAAGATAACGTATCGTAAAGAAGATAGCGAAGTAAAACAAAAATAATGGTCAAGAAGAAGAAAAGTAGCTAAAACCGACTAGAGAGCATGTTTAAATTGTGGGATCCTGCTTGCCAACTAGTACCTACAGTTAAAAACATTAAATTTGGACGTCACAAGCAATCCTTATTCCAAAACATAAATAATCATGGAACATAAACCACATATAACACCAACCAGATGATGACCCAGAGATGAAATGAGAGATGAAACGAGAGATAAAACGAGAGATGAAACGAGAGATGAAACGAGAGATAAAACGAGAGATGAAACGAGGGATGAAACGAGAAACCTAATTCCAAGGTCCAACCAATGTTTCGTTTGTCTAGAGAAATGCTTTGCCCCGGTTGTTTACTGCAGCTAACATCCATTATATAGAAATGCCCAGAAACAGTTCATGCCAGGACAGAAGAATAGATCCGGACTAGCCAGAGGGGACATGGAATAAAAAATATTTTTTTTTTTTCAACACAAATATACGTAGGGACTGAGGGCAGTCCTTTTTTCATCGAGGGGAGGCACATGTTACGATATAAAATAATTAATAAATATCTAAATAAATAAATAAATTAAATGACGCCCAGTATATTATAAAATCCATCTAACACAATATTTTAATTATCAGCAATTTATTATTATCTAAACAATTGGTCAATATTAAAAACACCGTGGGGAATGCGAGAAAGAATGGATATGGGGTCATGCTGGCTTGGGGCGTCGGCCTAGGGGGTTAAGTGAAATTAGGTAAAAAGTCAGGTTGTATCTAATAAGTGAACAAAGGGTGCCCTCAAAAGAATGTAAGTAGATTGTTCTTATTTTATTATGTCTATATTTTTGATAGTGGAAAATATAATTGGCTTTTTTGTAAGTGTTCTTATTTTTCTGTGTTCTCCTCCAACCCTTTCTGGTAGTTAGTGGTTACGCTGACGGGGTTAATAAAACACCCCGTAGCAATATTTATATGATGGGAAAACCCCATAATAAAAAAAATACAATAGAAAAATGTACAGTGTCTAGCCAAATATTTATATACCTACTAAAATAATACAAACATTTACATTCTACAATAATACAAACCTATTGAGATCTATTTCTAACTGTTTTTTTAACAGAATATAGATTGACAGAAAAATCTACGAAATTCCAGCAATTCTAAATTCAATGATCTCTTTATATCCTCATACTCATATTCCCCATGTCTTAATCCCAATTTGTATCCACAGTATATTAAAAACTTATTCTGAACAGATTCAATAGACAAAATATTATGGACATTGTAAAAAGGTGTCCAGATAGATGGGCAACCCATATTCGAGCAGGGATCTGACATATTGTCGCATTAACGCAGAACTATTGTATGTCTAAAAATGCTAATTTTCGTTTTTATTACCAAATGAAGCTATGATGCCCTTTCTATTCCATATAGTAACATTCTAACTCCATCCACAGTGGTTTTCCTCTTACCACTTAGTAAAAATATTATAAAACAAAAACCTTTTATTTATTCTGAAGGCAAACAATTGTTCTGCGGTAAAATACACATTTTGTGACAATAATTCTGCATTAAGGCGACGATATGCAGAATATACTACTTTGACTGAATTTATTGAGATACCACTAGAGTTTCTCGGTAAAAATCCAAGAGTTTTTCAAGCTTTACCACTGATCTGAATAATATGTAGATTAAATGTCAGATGCTCATCGACAAGAACTCCTAAGTCTTTTATCTCAGTTACTCTATTAAGGAATGTATCGCAAATAGAATAATCAAAGATTATTTTGTTGTGCACCCTACCAAATGTAATCATGTAACATTTAGAACAATTGAGAGACTTACAGTTTTTCACAAACGAATTATGGAGAGGTTGTACATCAATTTGAAGAAGAAGAAGACAACCAATTATATTACGAATAGCCATGTAAAGTTTTAAGTCATCTGCAAAGTGTAGAAACTTGGCATATTTGAAAATATGACCAATGTCATTGATGAATAGTAGAAACTACAAGGGCCCTAAGTGAGAGCCCTTTGGGACTCCAGAAGGTCTGAAGTACTGCTGCCAGTCTTCACTATCTGGATCTTACCAGTTAAATAGCTTTTTAGCCATGAAATCAAAGGATCAGGAAAACCTAAAAGATTAAGTTTGTGTAATAATATTGAATGGTTCACATGATCGAAGGCTTTACAGAAGTCAGAATAAATTGAATCCACCTGCAGATTGACACCAAATTGGGAAAGAATGTCCTGCTGATAAACCATCAAATTTGTAACTGTCGATTTAACTCTGGAAAAACCATGTTGTTCATCGATTATCAAATTATTACAATACCAAGAAAGATCACAGACAATTAATATTTCAAAAAGTTTAGGAATAATACCAATAGGTCTGTAATTCGGAATATTGTTTTTGTTGCCATTTTTGAAGATAGGTACCACATAACTACTTTTCCAGATGTCTGGAAAATAAATTAACTTTATCAATGTGAAAATTCATTTTTTCAGAAAGAATGAAGGAATTCCATCTGGTCCATTGCTTAATTTATCATTAAAATCAAATTAATATTCATTAGTTTAGAGTTTTCCAAACGAATTATCCATATTAAGTGTCCATAAAAGTGCATTATGATGGTAACTATAAGGTAATAACAGGTCAATAGATTCAAGCAAAACTGTAGATTCAAAGCTTTGAGAAAAAACAAGTCCAAGAGAACATTAATTTGATTCCTAATATAATTCAATTGTTTAACGCTATAAAATGAGAAAGTTTCAGATACTGTTTTTGTTGGATAGTTGGCTGAACATCCCATAACATGCCATGTTCTTATGGGTATCACTATTGTAAACATAAATCCTAAGTAACATTTTATCTTGTGCTAGGGCACAATAACGGTGACAAATTAATTTTTGAATTAAATAAAATGTCAAATATTTTTAGTCATAAAATCACATTGACAAAATTTTAGCATTTTTACATTGGTTTGATGTATTGTGTTCAATCCTCAAATGATTATGTTGTTAGTAGAATGCTGTTGACAAGTAGTAGAAAAAGTTGGATATTTGGATATAATAATATTTATTTGATTTACTAATATTCATTATCACAGAAGTTATTGCTTCTGTTTCTTATTGTTATTCTTATTACTTTCCTATCTGTTTACAGATAAGGAAAGTATAGGAATCATGTTTTTTTTTGACCTCGAGTTTTTGACGGATTTTTACGTTTTGGTGCCTCCTGAATCTATTTTGACTATTTTCGCGATGATGTCTGTATCCTCGATAACTCATTAACGGATACAAAGAAAACCACCAAATTTTAAACTTAAGCTTTATTTCGGCCTTTAGTGAACTGATTTGTGCAGAGTCGGAACATCTGGGGGGTACTTTATAGGGGATAATTTTTATATTTTATGAAATAAATCTTATATAGGTTTGGAAAAGAAAATTCTTCAAATAAAAGTTGCATCTAATATTATTCTCTATAATTTTTGTTCTACACAAAATTTTCCTAAAATGGCCCGTATTCGAGAAATTTGACAAAATGTGCAAAATTTCTAATAATTTCTAATAAATGAGAGCGTCATGCAATCATAGAAGATATGCTCAATTGTCTCATCATCAGGCGCAGATTCTGCTAGTCATAGTCAAATATTTGTTAGCTGTAGTGTTGTCAGGATAACTTAAAAGCTCCCTGGCAAGTCTGCATCTTTTTTGTATGCAATTTATTTAGTAGGATTGATTGCAATGATATGATATGAAATTGTAAGCCCAATTTTGCAGACTTTGATATGTTTTTGACCACTCTTGGATTTTTGAAAAGACATTTAACCTAGACACAGCGATTTTAATATATTTTTAATATTTTATTACTTATTTTGTTGCCCATTTTGTATTTTTAACTTAGGGAGTGATTTTAATATATTTACCTAATATTGTTATTGCCTATTTTGTATAAATATATTTTTATATTGTAAACTTGAACTAGTTACTTGTACGGAAGCGTAGAAGGGCCATGAAAAAATATTTTTTATTTTTCAGACTTAGAAAATTCGATTTTTCCTACTTGTAATTCAGAAAAATCGATTTTATTAAGTTACAAGTAAAACAATCGATCTTCTTAAATAAAAAGTCGAAAAACTAAAAATACAGGGCCCATTAGTGTTGAAGTCCAATATTGTTTTTGAAAATACGAAAAAATATCAAATACAAAAGTTTTGCTGTTCACAGAGGTGCCTGTTGTAAAAATATTTGCCAATATACAGTACCCCCAAAAAGCAAGGCAACATAAAATTAATTTTTTTTATATGGAACATTTTATTTTTAAATTCTATTAAAAGTGTTTTGTCTGAAACAACATATGTCTAAATTCAATTATTGTTTTCACGCTTTTAACATTAGAAAATTGTCATTTTCATACTTTGACCAGCTGTAGCACCCTATGGTTGAAATTAGGGTAAAACGGTTTTTTATACTTTATTCAAATATGCAATAAAAAAACCCACGTATGGTTTAACGGGAAGTTAGATTTTTTTATGTTCAATTAATCCAAAAGTTTGCATATCTGGATATGAAATACTAAGATAGGAACATGAAAACCGTTTTGCTCTAAGTTCAAGCATGTTCCATTTGAAAAAAATTAATTTTATGTTTCCTTGCTTTTTGGAGGAAAATATTTGTACAACAGGTGCCTCTGCGTACTGTAAAAGGGTGGATTCATAAACTACGTTCAGTTCGCGCTCAGTTCGAGTTGGCAAGACATAACCACAAATTCCGCAAAATAAAATTATATTTTGGTGTTATTTTTGTTTTAATTATATTTGTAGATGGTGTTGGTTATAAAATAATTATGAATCCGTTATAATTTCTTATCCAAAACATACTTACAGTGTCATTCTGCTCTGTTTATGTTGAACTCGAACTGAGCGTGAACTGAACGCGAACTGAACGTAGTTTATGAATCCACCCTATAAAACTTTTGGTTTCGACATTTTCTCGTATTTTCAAAAACAACCGAGATATTAGACTTCCACACACTAATGGGTCACCCTGTATATATACAAAGTGTTGCAGAACTCTCCTACATCTGTCAAAGGTTGTTGTTTTGCCAAAGCCAACTTGGTATTGTAATAAATTAATTTCTTAATCAGAAGAAACGCAAAAAGCTCAATATAGATTTTCTCGAAAACGGTGGATCATAGTTCATACAAGAGTACTTTATTTTTAGAAGATACTTTTATATCTGAAGTTAAAAAAATAAATTAAAAATGTCTGTTGGTCCCCATTTCAGCCCCAAATATGACAAAATAAAATTTGTAGCGGCAAATTGGTCATTAGAAGCTTAGTCAATATGCACAGTTTAAACATTTGAGTATGTTAAAAAAATTATTTTAAGACACAAAATTTAAAGATGTCTTGCTCCCTTGTGTACCATTTTATACATAAATTAATCTTGTTAAATCAAATCTAATACATATAGTTTCCGTTGGACAGGAGAGTTCTTCGACATCTTGTACATTGTAGTGCTTCTATGCTTCCATATACTTGGATTATTGTTTTCTGTGATGTTCTTTTATAATAAATATATTAATAACTTTTCTATCATCAGGAATTTCTCACCATCGTAAAAAACCGATATTTGCCACATCTGGTGAAGTCTGTCAACTCTGGGAAGAAACCAGAAACGAACCACTTAGAACTGTAGAATGGGGCGTAGATAGTTTACATGATATCACATTCAACCCTGTAGAAGGGAATATTTTGGCATCGTGTGCCAGCGACAGGAGCATCATCCTGTATGACATGAGGGAAAAATACCCTCTGAGGAAGGTCGTTATGAAACTTAGGACGAACAAGTTGTGTTGGAATCCAATGGAACCATATATTTTTACAACAGCTAATGAGGATTACAAGTAGGTTGTAAACAAAATGGGATATATTACTGAGCTATACTTTAAATTGTTCTTTTAGTCTTTATACTTTTGATACTCGTAATCTTAAACAACCCACTAATGTCCACGTCGACCACGTTGGGGCAGTGACGTACGTCGATTATGCTCCGACAGGGAAAGAATTCGTGTCAGGAAGTTACGATAAGACGGTCAGAATATTTGAATCCGAAAAGGGGCATTCCAGGGAAATATACCATACCAAAAGAATGCAAAGGTTGACTTGTGTACTGTGGTCTTTGGATAATAAGTACATTATGAGCGGTTCCGATGAGATGAATATTAGAATTTGGAAAGCTAGAGCTTCGGAGAAATTGGGTCCGGTAAGTTTTAGCAAATTGCAGGGTGTTGTTGAAATACATGTAGATATTAAAACAGTTTAATATTTAAGTTATCCTAGAATGTACAAAAAGATTGTTTTGAAAAGTGCAATTAATTAAAGGCGTAATTAATTTTTGAAAATTGAAGTTTGCATATAAATAGATCATCTTCAAAATGTAGGTCACCTATGGTCATAGACTCCGAATAACCGTATCACAGCCTGTCTGGAGTTTAATTTCGATATTACAGTTGGAAACTACCTTGTTATGTAGGGAGGAAAGCAACAAATCCGTTTACTAATTTTTCAACTACATTTAAAATCATTTTCCCAATAAAATTAATATAATATGATTTCAGAACAATTCAACCTCTAAAATCACAAAACAGGATAAAAAACTACTCTAAATTTCAAACAACCAGGCTCATGAATCAGTAGGGATTGCTCAGTACTTTGTATACAATCGGAATTAGTCTTGAAAATAATATTTACCACTATAAAACTTACCTCAAATAAATGATCAAATAAAATATTTACAAATCACATTTAAAAATCTATAAACCAAGGGGACTTTTACTCTACAAGAAAAGGTACATGTATTGCCAAATTACTTCGGTAATTCCAAGGGTAATTCCAAATAACGGTTGGTAATGTCAGGGTAAGTACTGTTAGGTAACTCCCGAGCTAATTTCATTTAATAATTTTTATAAAATTTTTAAAGTAAACAATGAAAGAAAATTCTTTGTTTTGGGTTTATTCACAATATATTTTTTGATATAACGTTTTTATTTATCGACATACCGAAAAATATTACTATTTTTTTTCGCTTTTGAGAACCCACCCTCAGGTCAATTATTTTAAATACAGGCCTGTAATTTTCATCCTATTTTTTTATACTACTTTTCCTCCTGAGTAAGCACAACTATGTTATAGTTCTTCCATTATCAATTGCAGATCTTAAAAACTCGTTCGGAACCATTACCGACAATTTTGTTTGATCTGCCATAGGCGTAGATACCTACCTCATTTTATAAATTTATTTTATTAATACTTTTAATATATATCATATGCAAGAAAGTATTCGTTAAAAGGAAATCGAATAATTATAAATTGGACGTTATTATACGCCCTTATTTAGACAGTTGCACTTAATTGTAATCTTACTTGGACTTAAAAAAAAATCATTATAGCTCGTTAACTTGCTACAACTGAATATTAAATTATAAAACGTAAAAAAGCGAGTAAAGTGTACCTGCCTGTAAGGGCGTTTGTTTTAAACAGGGTACCAGACGTGAACTGAACCCTTTTTGTACCCCATTCGTTCTTTTTCTGGAAAACGAAATTTCAAAGAAAAAACCATAAAGGAAAATAAATTGTTTGCAAATAAAACAAAAGAAAAAAAAACAATTCAATTCTAAAGTATCTTTATAAATAATCATGGCAGTCTGAATCCTCTGAACTAGAGTCATCATTTGGTTGAATTATGATGGGTTGTAAAGAGGGTAATACTACATACTCATCTTCTTCTTTGATAACATCATGTTCAACACAGTTTTTCCAAAGCTCTTGGCGGTCTGCTGCTAGAACTTTCTTTACGAGTTCTACAACTTCTTTACTCAGTTCTGGAGACTGATTACATTTTCGTAATTCTGATTTTAAGTTTGCCAATATTAACTCTATAGGGTTAAATATGCAATAGTAAGGAGGTAGTCTGGGAAGAGTTTGCACAGCTTGTCAATATAATACATTTTTTCTAATTGTATACCTTTAATAACAGTAAGCAATTCTTTGTTTGTTGGTCCTTTTTTACCATCACTGGCAGGAATAGGAATATTTTTTTCAGACATAAAAGCTAAAATTTGAGCTTTTTTACTGGTACTATTTGGTATTTTAAGGAGTTGCTGCGAGTGGTAGGATGCGTTGTTCATAACGATTACTGACTGTGGTGGAATGTAAGGTAAAAGCTGTTCATTAAACCGTTTTTCAAATAATTCTGCTGTCATATCTTCATGATAATCAGCTGCACAGTTTTTAATTTGTTTAGCAGATAATAATAAAGCATTAGGCACGAAACCGTCTTTGCTTCCAGCGTGTACTATTATAATACGTTTCCCTTTAGAACAAGGCCCATTCAAACAGCAATTTTTACTACTGCCAACCCAACCGAAATTTACTACATCGTGACTGTCAAACCATGTTTCATCTAGATAAATTATGTGTCTATTAGAACTTCTGTAGCCTTTTATCTGACGCAAATAATCTTGTCGCCATTGAACTATCCTTGACGATTCGGTGATTGCCATCTGTTTATTCAATTTTTTGTGTTTAAAACCACATGCTGACAAAACTTGACGCAATGTTTCCAAACTGATATAAGTGTATCCTGGAAAATCTGCCACCTTTTGCTGTATTACTTCCAATGTCGGAACCCTGTTCTCCTTACATAAACTATAAATTGTCCTTCGTATAAAATCTTGGGTAGCTCTGTCAACTGATTTCAGTTTTTCTTTACATGTTTTTCGGTTTTATGAATAATACACAGCAACCCCTTTCGTGACTACCGGATAAACGGAAAATTTATTTACTTTAGTTAATTCAGCAATTGTTATTATGAACGCATTATCAGACTGCTGAATATTTTCCTTTTTTAAACATTCGAATATATTTAAAATAACTTGTTGTGTTTGTATATCTAAATCCTTATCGTTAAAGTCATACCTGTCTTTAATCTCACTACACTGTGCAATTTCATTTTCTTCATTCGCCCATGGTCTAAAGAACACCATATTTATATTTATTAAAAGAAATTTGTCTTCCAGGAATATTTTCGAACACCTGCCTTCCGTAAACCTCCGGCCAATACAGTGCATTTAAGTTTACGATTCGATGTTTTCATTGGTAAACAACTGATGGTTCGTTTAATATTTACCGCTTTGTATAAGGGGAGTAAACATTATTTTTCGTTTCTCAATTTGGCATGAGTACCGTGCGTATATATTAGAGGTGTCTCGTTCGCGAACGATTCGTTCAAAAAGAACGAATCAGTGCACTGACTCGAATGAATTGATTCCCTGTTTTTAAAAGATTCGAATCTTTTTTGAGTCAATTGCTCGATGGCTCTGCGATCGATCAAACACGCCGAGTTCCGAGTTTAGTTGCTTCGTTCATTCGATTCGGATTCGGTATTTTACATCGGCATCGGCATGGTCGCTTTTGTTCTACGTTCTACGGCATAATACGAGAACTCTAACTGACAGGCGGTGGCGGTATGTGTCTTTAATGTTTTTCTCACTTTACAGGAGGTGTGTATTAAGCTTAGGTAAACAATTTATGCGTGTTGTCTGATAAATAAATTTAAATCAAAGTAAAATTAAAACAAAAAATGACGAATCGTGAATATATAATTTTGCGTTAATTTTGGCTATATATTTGGCATTTAAAAAAAATTGTGTTATTGTTGTTTATCTTAACGGACAAGGATGTATTTATTATTCAGCTGCCTTTTTTTTATGAAATATGAAACATTAATTTGCTTTACTTTAAAATAAATCTGGTTATAATTATTTTACTCAACGACCTAGTAGGTAGGTAGGTAGGTAGGTTAGGTAGTACTCAAATTCGTAAAAGTTCGGTTCGATTTCCTTCGCCGGATCGGCGGAATAGCATCGTTCGTGGTTCGCTAAAGTGAATCACTTGAGAACGAATCTTGAAGAACGAATCTTTTTAGGTGAATGAATCAAATGAATTAATTCAGTAAAAAGATTCGAACTTCCCACCTCTAGTATATATTAAATATTGATGATTCCCACATAACTGTTCTGCAATTGATAATGGAAGGACTATACCCATATAACACTTTGCTAAGTTTCCGAGAAATTATAACATCATCAATACATATAAACATTAATTACGGACCTGACATCATGATTTATGAATTACAAATAATATGTTGTAATAAGCCCAAAATCTACAGACTCAGGACCGACAGTGCTGGAAAGATCAAACCTTCAGTTCCGTTTTGCTTCTGTTGGAGTGAATACTAAATGGTGTTTACATGTGCAGGAAAGAAAAGGATGTTCTATTGACGTTGCATTGTACCCGTTAATAACTAGCTAGCGACCGCTGATTCCCGCAAGTGGCAACTGTAACACTGTCTTTTATTTTTCCTGCATGTGCATGCGCCATTTACTATTCACTCCAACACAAATGAAGCAGAACTGAATGTTTTATCTTGCAGCATTTTAGAGGCTATACTTTACATTCTTTTAACACAACTGCACTTTACAGGAAACTTAAATGATTTAAATTAGGTCATGAATATAAACAGTGGCATTGTAATTCCACTATAATGTATTGTCAGGAGTGAAAGGCTCTCGAATGAAATATATGGCCCTTTGCTGTCTGCAAACATGTTAAATAGGACTTGTCAATCCTGGGCTTGATAGTTTGTGTGAGTAGTTCAGATGTTTAGATTAGACAAGCTCTGTGGCGTTCACATTTTGTTTTGAGGCGTTGTTGTCAAATTGGCTTTTAATATATAAGGCTACTGGAGAAAATGCTCGACAAGCACATATTTTCTTTACGATTTCCTAATATTTATATCAACTGAACCAATAAATACAATTTGAACAGTTAACTCAAAAAATAAACAAATTCGACAATTTTTAGACATAATACCCTGACAAATTCTAGAGTACCTACGGAGTTCTTTACGAAGGCAAGTAGTAGCGTACCTCAATAATATTGGACGCCATTTAGTACAATTAAGAAAATATTTCTGATACATTCTGTAATGCAACAACACAATGATTTTAACCAACAAGCATAGAATAATGATTGGAAAAGGCGAAGTTGGTCCATTTTTAAATTTTAGAATTGAATGCTAAGATTGGTGCAATTCTTGTCACTCTTAATATTTACATGTATTTAAATAACACCGTGTATATTATAAAAGTGATGTTTTTCATAATATATATTTCTCAATTTAAACATAGCACTCCCAGGCCGGACCTGTGCATAGCAAACACCTCAAATCAAAGTATACAAGACATTTAAAACTTATTTAAAAAATAAATAGCTTCCATCCTTGAGTAGCAACTGTCATCTCGCTTCAACACAATAGAAGTAAAACATATTTCCAGTAGACAACATTCCATCTCATATTCTCTCCTTCAAATCGGAACATATTGCTTTTGTCTTATTCATTAAAAATATTTTCTTATGAAAACGGCCTGATGTTACTATTGTTGGCTGAACAAATTCATTACATAATGAAGTGGGGCAGCTGTGAGCAACGATTATTTCCACACAGGAACAACAGAGGCCTTCTGACCTCCAAGCTGTTCACCTCGTATGTTAACTAATACTAGAATGTGATATAGAGCAATTTGTACCCTACCTGCTGGTCTAGCCAGCAGTAACAACTACTACCATGCAAGTGTTCTCTTTTAATTCGGTATACATAATATGTAAATAAAACATAACAAGTGAATTAAGTGAAAGATTTTTTTCTTTCATTGGTGTTTCATTTCGAAGCAGGACATTTGGTCGCCGCCGTCTGGGCTCCGTCGTTTGACCGCCGGCCGTTTGGCCACTGGGACTTTTGGGCTCCGCCGATTGGGCACTGGATGTTTGGGCGCCGGAATTTGGAAGCATTAAAAATAGACCTTTGTTATTTATCGTAAATTGTTAGCTAAATAATATATATATTTTTTATTTAAAATCTTAAAATATTTCATAAAAATTAAAACAAATAACATTGTTAGAAATTAAATAGTATATACAGTGTGGTCTATAATTGTGGAATACCTTCATTGTTTCCTAAACTAAAAATATTTCTATAAAACCTGAAACACATCGATTTTTATTTTTAAAATCGCTTTTTTGGCGTAATTATGATAGAGATTAAGTACACAAATTAGGATTTACTAAGTACAAAGGGATGAAGACAAGAGTTTTTAGGTTATTTCCACAGATAAAGAAGGTAGGAACAGTTTATTCAAAATATTATAAAAGTAATCTACCTGAGAATTATGAATTATTTTGGAGCAATTAAGTGTTTAAAGGGCATTTTCACAGATAAAGTAGGTACGATTTTCCTGTTTTGATGGGAAGTGGTCAAAAGGTTAGAAAGGTCATAAAATATGTTTATGCTGGCGCCCAAACGTCTGGCGGTCAAAAATCTGGTGCCCAAACGGCGGCGGACAAACGGCGGCGTTCAAATGTATACCGTTTCATTTCCATGGATTGGAAGTTTTGTTTTCTTTTTATTATATTTTATTCTATTAATATTTATAATGAAATTGGACACCTGCCTTATAATTTTGAAGAGCAGTATGTGCTAATCCTTTACAAAGTGTTTTTGTTTATATTATTTGAATTATGGATTTTTTAGTCAGTGAATAACTACTGTTTTAATTCTAAAAGTTGTTGGTAACTTTCTAAAGCTTAAAAAAAATATTTTCGATTTGTGAAACTACTACCACGCTTTTACGTCTTATGCTAAAAATATAAAAACGTAAAATATGAAAATTTTTAGTTAAAACCACGTGAAAGAGCAGCGTTACGCTACAGCGACACGCTTAAAGAAAAGTACGCTAGTCATCCGCAAATCAAGCGGATAGCCCGGCATCGTCAAGTTCCAAAGCACATTTACAATGCTCAGAAGGAGTTGCGTACCATCAAGGACAAGAGTAAGAAGAAAGAAGCCAATAGACGAGCGCATTCTAAAGCTGGGGAAGTGCCATACGTGCCCGAAAGGCAGAAGCACGTTCTCAAAGAGCAACAGTGATTCGATGTTTTATTATTTTTTAATTAAATGTATAAAAAATTATTTTGTAAGTTTTACTAATATTATGAAATTATTACAATCAGCAACACGTTAGTACTTAACCCTTTTATTGCTACTCTAGATTCGATGAGTGTGATTCTTCAAGGTAATGAATTTAGGAATCAAAGTCCATTTCGCCATCTTTCCTATGTTTTTCTCCTCCTAACATATTTATTTTGCCCTCCTAATATTTATGTTTAATATTGTTATTTTTTTCCAGTTCTTTTTAACCTCCCCACTAACCCATAAAAATGCAATCGCTTCAAAATTAGAACTCAAGATAACACCAGATCTTTACATTTTGGGGTCTTAGGAACTGCTTTTTGTTAGCACAATACATACCAAACTATGATCCAACCTAAACTACATCCGGCCTATTTCGATGGGGTTTGGATCATGGGGTTTCCAGGGCCTCCTGAAGAGCTCATTAGATTTTTAGCTTAGTCGGGCCAACTTGGGGAGTATTTTATGAAGGGTCGTTTTTGTACTTTTTAGTATATTTCTGTTATTTATGATTGGAGAAGAAAATTCTTTGGATAAAAGATAAAATTCCTTTTAAAATGTTATTTTGAATGTGTGGCATTCTGTATAAAATTGGTATTAAAATAATTTAAAATTCAATAATCGCCGCATGCAATATTCCTGAGAAAGGGAAGTGTCGCATAGTCGGAGCTTTATTTGGTCAGTCGATGTCAAATCTTTTCTAGAAATTTAACATCATATCGTTGAATCAACCACAGGTATCTTTGGATGCCATTACCGGTGAGTTATTAATCCCAGCTAGCTGAAAAACAACCCATCTACGTTATTAAGCTGCAATTTTAAGCTCGTATGCAATGTACTTTTAATGTAACCCTAATATCTATGCAACCGCCGAATGTCCGCAACGGCAAGACTTTTATGGCATATCTCATAGAGGTTACAAAGTGAAGTGCGGAAAACATCACACTAGCACTTTTACGATACTTTCCCCGAAAGTTGCTCTGAAACGTTGTATAGATGTTATAATGTGAATTCATTCTACATAATTATACAGTGTGTCCACGGATGGACTTAACAATACTTGTAAAAATATTTCTTCTTACTTCGTCATAATTTTGTTTGCTTGTTAAATAAATACGATTAACGTTGAAAAATTGTGAAAAATTATTTTTTTGAAAAATTTAAGATAAATATTTTTACAAGTATAGTTATATCCATCCTTGGATACACTATATGTAAAATAGCATATTGAGAATATAGTAAAATCTGAATAAAACAAGATAAAAAATTGTATAAATTTATTATTAAAAAGCTTTTGAAATCAAGTACCAATATCATACAAGTAGAGGTAGGTATTAATAATATAGGTATATCACAAGGTAACACAATTACACATGTGTGATACCATGGGGTAGCTATAAAACACTGAAAAATTAGACAAAAGTAGGTATAAAAGATACATAAGGAATATCTCAAACACTGAACGATTTCACGAAAGAGTATAATAAGGTACCTATATTGCAAAGGTTCACTAGTAGCTAAAATGGTGAACGATTTTACAAAAGTAGTAGAAAGTGTATTTATATAAGGTATATTTCAAAGGTCACTTGATTTTTATTAAGATGGCAGTTGTACGATGCTAAAAAAAGATATTTACCTACAACTGGTACTAATCATAGTTTTAATATAAATGTGAATTTAATTATATAGTTTCTTCTGCGAAAAATAATGGAGGTAATAAATTTACTTGTTTAACTATTATTAAAGAAAATAATAAGTATAAAGAAAATGAAACATATGCTCGTTTAAAACGTTTCACCTATTTTTAGTTGATTTTTACTTTGTTGTTTTAAATAGATAATTTTTTATTTATTTTGATTTTTACAAATTTGATGCTTAATAATAGATGTCCAACTTATACAGAGCTTTTAACAAAAAACAATGTTTTTAGCACGATATTCTGTTATGAAAGAACAAGAAATAATTTCAGATGTATATTCTTTAACCAATTCTGAATTATTTACTTTAGCTTCTAAAATTCCTGAAATTTTTACTAGAATTATAATCAGCACAAAGGAAACCTACAACATATTTTTAAAATGTATTTTTAGTGATTAAAATATTATTACACTATGGCAACCATAGTTACAGCATTTTGCTGTATTGTACAGCATTTTTAAAGGTTGTCCAGCATTTGATATTGTGCAGCAAACGTACAGCTAAACAGCATAGGTATATGTCCAGTGAAATACTGTATTTATCCACTTACTGTCCAGCAATGGTAATACTTAATTTACTGAAACGTAACAAATTAACATGTTATTTATCTTTAGTGAACTACATGAGCACATCTATTCTGCCGTCCTAGCAAGAAAGGTTCTTTCTGCAAAATTAGCAGTTTTTTTATTTATGTGCATTTATCTACATTTTATTTTTCTTGATATCGAAATGGAATGTCCTATTTGCATTGTAAAGGTACTAAAATGTTTAAAAGTTACATAAAAAAGGTTTAAAAGATAATAAATATGTCTGCTAAAAATAGTTATCGATTATTTCGAAACAACAAATTTTCAGATAGGACCTTTCTTGCTAGGACGGCAGTATATGACCTCTTTGTTTTTGTATTTTTATAGTTGGGAATAGGGTTATGAGTATCGGTCAAAGGTATTGATACCGGTATCATGTGAGATACTTTGTGGTAGAGGTATCAATACTGTTCAATATTAAAGATATAGATATTTATAAGTATTGAGTAACAAAGTATCGAACAAGTAAAATATTTTTTTAAACAACCGACAACCCCCATTTAACAGGGCGAAGTGGGGAACTTAACTAAAAACAAGAGTTGCATCAGTAAAGTATATTCTGTAGTGGACAGTTGTTAATTACACCCTTTCTTTCTCTACTGATACTCTACCTGGTTCTGTTATAAGTTATAGTGTCAATAACTGGCAATTTGCCTTATAATTAAATTACAATAAAAAAACAGTGGTAACGCTTAATCATATTAAGGTCTGTTCCAAGTTTCACCACATGCGAAAATTATAATATTTCGGTACAAATCATGCGTTGTATGCAATTTTTAGGTTGAGCGCATGATTTGCACGGTAATATTACGGTTTTCACGCATATTGGACACACGGCGATAGTGTTGGTAATTCAGTATCAATGCCTAAATATCGATACCACATACTTTGATTAATATACGAGGCAAGAGAGAGGTCCGACACGCCCAACATAGGGCGCGGCCATTTTGAACCCTGTGACACAGTTTACAGCTAAAGAATCAGATCGCTCACTCTGCGTCGGCACTTTTGATCTCAATGTTTCAGTTTATACACTGTTAGTCCAGGATCCGTAAGTAGGGTCGACCTTCACCCATCTGTTTAATGGATACAACTTATTTTTTATTAAATAAAATATGTTTTTAAATATACCGCAAATGGGTTGCCTAAGAAAATGTGGTCACGGCCATTTTTTACTATCGTTTCTGTGTACAGATAAAGAAAGTATAAAAATCATGATAAAAGTTGTTTATGATGTCATTATCTATTATTTTGTTCCTATACATGATTTTCCTAAAATGAACCTAATTCGAGATATTTGAGAAAAAGTGCAAATTTCGAATTTTGAAGACAACTCAGAAACGGATGAAGAAGAGAGTAGAGACCAATAATATGTGAACCTTGAACACCGATAGGACTGAAACGTCACATGATACGGAATTATGCACTGTGATACATTGGCTCCGATTACTTAAATAAGATTCAATCAAGTAAAGATAAAAACCAGAGATACCCATTTCGAAGAGTTTTTTAAGTATCACTTCATGACGGGAGGGGTGGGGTGGTTGCTCCCACTTCACGATGCTATTTTTTTGTATTTATTCTTTTTTTATACTTTTTGCCCTCACTTGGGTGTAAAAAAAGTAGGGAGACATTTGGTGATTGGGGTTATACAAGCGTTTAAACAGCACAGGTAACTTATTCAGATGGATTTAGAAAAAAATCGTAGGAAAATGCTAATTACCCATCCTATCTACTAGTTACTCCATATGCATTATTTAAATGCAATTATTATACACTTTGTCGAACGCTTCAAATAAATCAACCAAGATTCGAAAATAAAACTTCAAAAACACACATTTAAAATCAATTTATTTCAAAAAGTTTCAAATAAAATCAAAATCAATTCTGTATAAAATATAAAGTAATTTATTTTGGTTAGGCTAGGATACTCTTAAGTTTAAAAACTTACGGTAGACTAGATTTTCATTTGTCATTAAAATCGAATCGATATACAGCACGTCCCGATATTTTGGATTTCGAGAAATTCGTTTTCTGAATTACAAAAAAGAATATCAAACTGGAAAATATCTTTCGAAACCAATTCAATATTTTTCAGTTTTGATGGAAAACTTTAAATTTTTTGCAGTTCAGGAATTTTGAAATATCAAGACGTTCTGTATAAATAAAACCTTATCAATTTGATTTGCGTATCCTAGAGGATTTATAATGTATAAAGGTAAAATTAAGGGTGGTCTGCTTAATAAAACTATAGTAGTTATATGGAGTGAGTCAAATATTTGGAAGATATTTTAAAATATTAAATTAAAATCGTTATTTATATTTATCATACCAATTTAAAAAATATGTCAAATATGAAATACCCCTATACGGCGGTTAAATTCATACAGGGTGAATAAGAAAATATTTTATATGTGTTTGCGTAAATTCTATTGCGAATCATTAGAGTACAGGCAAAAAAGTATATGTAATTGGCCCAAAAAAAATTAATTTGAATATATAAAAAGTTACCAAAATATTCTATTTTGAAAAATATTTTGTATTGTTAAACATTTAAAACCTAATAATTTTAAAAAAATTATTGCTTCAAATATTTTTTCCTGATTCACTAGCCTACAATCCAATTTCCTTAGTATTTTATAATCCACTCTGTATGCTTATTTCAATAAAAAAATATCAATTTATAATATCCCTTATTATTGACTCACCCTCTCATATACCTATGTCTTTAAAGTGCTAAAAATTCGCAACGGTCAAATTTTCACATCTCATTGAACGGAGAAATAAATAAAAATTTTCCTTTTTCAGATTTTTTATTTACTTTCCGTTTGCTATAAAAAAAAATGAGAAAATTCGCCGCTAGCCAAGAGGGGAGTGAGGGGCACACTTCTTTGGACCACCTATATTATCATCTCAAAATGACACAACACTTTACGATTTTTTTTTTGTTTGGGATGTACAAATGGTAAAATTTCATAAATAACTTTGAAACAATTACCTATTTTTGATTATATACAAAGTGTACATTTAAAAATAACTATATTTATTACGACATGAAATATTCAAGAGCACTTAAGTTTCGCATCTTAAAATTTAATTTTTTATATTTTTTACATTGAGCTGTCTTCATTGATACATTCTCTATGTGAGTATCGGTACGACAAATCTTAGATTACATTCTCAGGAAAAATAATTATCAAATGTATCACGTTAAAGTTTGAGAGAGGCGTATACTGTGACCAAATTACACAAACGCGGCCATAACCTCAAAAACTTGGGTATTTAAGCCTTGAATGAAGCTATTGGCTGAAGAGTACATATAGGTAACGCCTTGATGAGATGAAGTTAGCCACGCATAAAAAGCATAACGAATGAGAACAGAAATATAGACTAGTATACAGGAACTAGGTTTATAACCATACAATTTTAGTACAGCATAGAGACCCAGATAACCATGAAGGCTTTGAAGTCTTTTGACAAACTTTCACTATACGCGGAGATGAAAATGATCGGAAGAATGTAATATATATATACAATTTTTCCGCGTTTTTTTTTTTGTTTTTATTTTTGTATTTTACTCAAAAACAATGAGCTTTCGTGAAAAATTTTAATGAAGAAAAAACGAGTTTTTATCGATTATTTTCTTATACATTTTTCGCCGCTAGAGGGCACAAAAAAAATGTACGTATTTTGCGGTTTGACGCATTTTACATAAAAACCACGCACTTTGGTTAAAAAGTTCATTAGAACAAAGTTATAGAACGAAAAATTTCCTATCGCACCTATTAAAAAGATTTTCCGGAAACCCATCATTTCCGCCGCTACAGCGCATGCGCAAAAAGTTTTTCAATAAATGATCATTTAATTTTTGTCAAGTCTACTTGGTTAAAAATGTAGATGCAACATTATAGATTGTGGAATTTAACAAAACATATTCATTTTCTTTTTTTACGAAGAATACGAAAAATTGAACAGCAACTTTCTAGCATGCGTTATAGTAGCGTCGGAAACGATGGGTTTTTTGAAAACCTGTTTCATAGGTTGGATAGGAAACTTTCTGCTCTACACCTTTGCTTTAATGAAATTTTCAACCAAAGTGCCTGGTTTTCATGTAAAATACGAAAATCCACACAATATATACATTTATTTATTTGGCGCGCTCTAGCAGCAAAGATATGAAGTTTGGCAAAAAATCTATAGAGACATAATCGATATAAAATTGTTTGTTCTTCAAAATAAGTCGAGTAAAATTTTTCATGAAAATGCATCGTTTTTGAGTAAAATACAAAAAACTTGAAAAAAACAGTCGAAAAATGTATATGTATATATGATACCTTCTTCCAATCATTCTCATCTCTGTGTATAGTAAAATTTTGTGAAAAGAATTCAAAACGTTCATTGTTACCTGGGCCTTCTATGCTGTACTAAAAATTCCCATTTCAGGGAATTTTTTATCTAATTGCGGTGGACTATCTGTCATAAGGACAGTAGATGTGACAAAGACATAAAGAAAAGAGCAAGAAACACGAGACTGAAAATATTTACAACTGAATTGATTGCTTGTGAAAAGCCATAACTAACAAAAATTATAAAAATTAGGCCAACGTGGGTAAGGCCTGATGAATTTATTAAACTATGAGGTACAGAAAAAGTTGACAGAAGAGCTATGAATAGCCATTTGTTGCTTGTAATCAGACAAAAGTTAATTAAAAAAAATCTAGCATTATGATAGAGTCTATAAAACAAATCAAAAAGTTACTAAAGAAATTGACAATGCTTTTAAAGTGGTCATCGTATCGGATCCCAAACAAAGCAGATTTTTTAAAAATGTTTATGAAATTCGTGTCAAAAGCAAAATTAAACGATTTAAATTTCAGTCAATTTTAGGCCGCCATATTTGATTTTTATAATTACAATGTATTAACAAATATCTTAAAAAGAATAAATTAGGTTTTAGTTCAACTTTTTTTACATTTTTGATGGAATACAACATTTTTTTGAAGTATTGGCCCCGTGTTTTTTTCTACAAATTTTATAATTTATTTTCTAAACATATTTCCTGAACAAATGTTTTCTTTTAAAAGGTTTATTCATATCGATACCGCGGTGACTTAAGTACCTATCAAAAAACATTAATAAATTTTTGGTACAAATTGTATTTTTTGTAAGATTGGTACCCACTGATATTTACAAAAATTATACACATACACTTATTTTTAAGTTAAGGTAACTGTCGAGTCAAGAGGAAGTAACTTGAGCGCTAGAATTTGATATTCAGAGCGATCTAGACGATATACTATGAACGCAATATAGAAGGTTGTAAAAACCAACAAGGTGATTCGTCGTCAAGGTTCGTTAAAATAAAATAGAGAGCTAAAGGTAACTGAAAATTGTTCAATATCACTAAATTAGTATTCATCACAAAATAGGTCATAAAAATAAAATGTACAAAAATTAAATGCAAGAAACCCCCCAACAAGGGTCTGTCATGGTTTTAAATTTTATTTTATGTAAAATAATATACTTATTAAAATTATGTAAAATTTCGTCTAAATATTATTTATTAAAATCCTATTATTAATAAAAAATATCACACCTTATATATACCTATATATAGATCTATAAAATTGTAAAATATAACGGAATGGCAGTAAAAAAATTGTATTATAGTACAGGATAGGTCAAAAATTTAACATTTCATTTGGTATATATAATATTCATAATTAAAGTAAAAATATTCTACATGATGAAGATAATCCATATTGAAGTAGGTATCACAGACGAATTTTTTGAGTTGCAATCTGTTGATGAAATTATGCCCACCTTTAGAAAAATATCAAATGTCAAATGTCAAAAAGTAAGAATAAAAAAGAAAAAGGAATAATGGACCCTTAACAAAATATTTTATAATACTTGGCTTTGAAATATCAAACGTCAAGACCTACAAAATGTAAAAAATAGGAAAACCGTTAAATTATGTTTAAAACAAAATATACACCATTTCACTAAATCATACATCTTCTGACAGAAAGACAGTTGACGTTTGACAATTTTTATAAACGTCAAATGTCAAGAAACGGTCAATATTTACAGTTGAAATTCTTCTATTAGTTACATTTTTAAGCCCATTTTTATCATATTTTTTGCATTTATTGTATCTACCATAAATTTTGGAGGGAAGCAGTTTTTGACATATCCTGTTTAACTATCCCAGCGCCTACTGTTTTCCTCTTAACTAAACCCAAACTTCGTGAATAATATAAAATCTCATCTTGCACGATACAGACGCAATGAAGACAGTATGTTGGTATTTTTTTGTTTGTTCAATATTTACATTATATCTTAAAAAATTGTTTACTCTAAAAAATGCATTTCACCAAACTGTTATTCAACTATATTTAATCAACTTGGTTTAGGGTGGGTTTAAACTTTACAATCTCTATTAATTAATCTATAGGTTATTGAAACTGAACTTATAAATCTTGTCTGTATAAAATTTGCAGGGTGGTCTGGATTTGATTTAACAATACGAGGATTTCGTAAAAAAACCATTTGGATGTTGGAATGGTATTTAACCGTTTAGGGAAAATGTTGGGTATTATGATGGTATATTGAATTCAGAATAACATTACTGGTTTAAAAGAAAAGAAAAACAGGAATCTACCATTTTGTGTTTTTCTATTATTAATAAATAAAAAAATCCTAAATAGGTGTTGTCCGTCTGATACGAAATTCGCTTAAATTTTTTGCCGGGAAACCGGTTTTCCACCAATTTTTCGGCTGTACCAACTTTTTTTCGACAGCGGATTTTTCCCTTTCGAGAAATTTCCTTTCGTTTGATGAAAATCGAAAAAAAATATTTTCCGGATTTTCCGACTTTTCCGACGAGATTAAAAAAAAAACAAAAATTCGAGTATACTACTCGACATTCTTCACGATGTTATCAAACTTTTCTCGATAACTCAAACGCATTACCCAAAAAATTAGGGGAAAATTTGGGCCGAACGCTTTTTCGGGGAAAACGTTGGTTAAAAGAGATAGAGCCAAAAATTCAAGAAAAATGATCTGGTTCGACGAGGCGCGACATCACATGTCAAGGTTTATATGACAGGGAGAGGAAAGAAATAAAAAACCGCGAAAATGTTCACTTTTTTCGGAAATTTATAAAAAAATTAGGGTAAATGTCTTTTTAAAATCTCCTAGGAAAATTTTAAATATATTTTCGGTAAAGTGGTTTTCCAACTATTTTCCGACTTTTCCGATGAATTTTCAAAAAAAAAAAATAAAATTTGCTTGTACTACTCGACGTTCCTCATAATCTGGTACTGAAATTTTCCCGCTCCCTCAACACATTTTCCAGAAAAATTAGGGAAAATTTTGCGTGAACGCTTTTAAGGAAAAACTTTGCTTAAAAGAGGAGATAGAGCAAAAAGACCTTAGGAAGAATTATCCGGCTCAACGATGAGGCGCGTTGACTGATGTATCACATGTCATGGTTTTTATGACAGGGATAGGGGCAAATTAAAAAATCCGTAAAATTTTCGCGTCAGAATATTATTATTATTATTAATTGAAAATAAATGCGTTTTTAAAATTTTAATTTATCGGATGGTGTAAGAAAATTTGAAAATTACCTACGATATTTCCCACGATAAAATAGTTTGATAGCCGAATGAGATGCGACATGACTCACTTATAAGTAGATCTTTTTGTTTTGGAACTACTAACGTATTGATAGTTTTTGTTATAATGCTTGATACGGATCTGCAATAAAACGGTTATTGGTAAAGATTTAAATTTTTATGATTGCCAAAACAATTTATGATTAAACATCAATTATTTATGAAAGACAAAAACATTTTTTTTTTCGTAAAGATATGTTTAACCAAAAAATGTTTAGCACTCAAACTTTCCAAATACTGTTAGTATTGTCATGAAAGTAAAAATGTTTGATTCCAAAGGATCAAAAATTATGAAAACTAAAGTCATCATAGCAGTGTATTTCGCATTGAAAAAATATTAGGAATTTAAGTATGTCCCTACAAACGACAGAATTAATTTTTTCCCAAATATATCTTAAACCAGCCCTGTTAATTTAAATTTATTAGTGTCACTAAACTCGTCTCTAAAATACATAACTTTTGTCCCATTCTCCAACCGGTTTACGAACTACCTCTATAGGAAAATTAAATCTGGACCACCCTTTGTATTTATTTCAACGTTTTATTTCCTCTATTATTTACTGTAAAATTATATAATCATATTTTATCTAGTTACTTTTGAACCATTGACGTATTCCATCACTACCGTCATGTGTCACTTGTCTTAATCACAACTGTCAAGTCACTTAAGTTTGACAGTAATGCCTAGATAGGTCAATTACGCATTTTATAAGTCAGTTTTTCTCAAATTTAAACCAAGTTTTTTAAAAGAAGCTAAATTCGAATTCGGCGAACAGATCTAAATCTTTGTTCGATCTTGGTTTTATTTTTGTTTATATATATTTTGTATGTCTCAACAAGCAGTCCGTTCGGGTTGTTTGGGTGGGGCTATGAGCTTTTGCCCCTCGGAACTGTCAGAATCGCTGGAGTCGCCGTCGCTCACCGACACTACGTTGTAGTTGCACGTTACTTTCGGTTTCTTTATTGACACTTTACTGTAGCCTCGTTGTTGGTTTTGGAAGCTAGTCTTCTGTAACAGAAAAAACATTTAGTTTACTTTAGCACACTGATGACTTGTAAAAAAATCTATCTCTATTAGATCTTTATCTTTGTCGTTTATAAGCAAGTAGATTTAGATATAGCCCAAAACACTACGGTCTCTTGGGTTTATTGTATTCCCCTGCTTTCCCTGTGTTGGGTTTCATACATTGTTGTAAATGGTTGTTATATTGTTATAAAGTTTTGTTGTATTTTCCATGGTTTTGAAATGTATGTCGAGAAGACAGTTTGGAAAATAAAAGTTAATGATTGAGAGTTTAAATGTTTTCAGTACCTTAACGCAAACATGAACGCACAAAAATAATGTTTACGTTGTAGTTCAAAATATGAGTTGAAGTTGTTTAACGAATGGTGACATTTACGTGCAATGACAGATAAAGAGGTTATTTAATTTGGCGTTATGTGTATACGCCAGTGATCGTAAGCTTACGTATGTACGTAGACGTGAACGTGAATAATATTTGAATACGCATCAATGACATATATAGTTTAAATAGACTGCTTATCCATACGTAAATAAAACGATGAAAAGTGGGTCGAACTGGGAGATGTTTTCTCTTTGTCTAGTGCATGCAATGTTTGTGTTTTGTCTCAATTTTGAGTGCTCACTGGTAAACAAACCTTTCACAGGACCGGTTTTAAAGAAAGTTTAGTCTAGTTGAGATTTTGTTCTCATTATCATTACTCAGTCGGACATTTTGTTGAATTGTTTATTTTATTTAGTTTTAATTATACTTATGTTCTGTTTTAAGTTTTTTAATTATTTGAGTATAAAAACTTGTTTTGTTTTTAAATTTAAATGGTGAACTGCTCTATAAAGGTTTGTAAGACCAGCTACAGAAATATAAAAAGTAACATTTAATTTTTCACGCAAGTATCAATACAAGTAGGTACAAGGTAAATACGTTTATAATAATTTTACGAATTATAATTAATTATAATAATAATATTAATAATAATAATAAAGTATTTATTGTAAATACAATTACATAAATATTATTATATTCAAAGTCCCGATTTAGAGCTATCTGGGCTTTACAAGTACATTTTAAAAGTTAGTTAGATAGAAGTATCGTATAATAAAAACTCAATATAAATAGAAGAAAAACGGACATAAGTACGAATACAGAGAGACAAACACTTTTATTCTTTGATAGGTTCTTTCTATGTGAATTCTAGCTCTGGCAATTTTGGCATTAAGTAAAGCCTCTTGATGGCTGAACTGATTTTTTTATTGAGAAAAGGAGGCTGTATAATTTGTAAACCTTCAGCTTCTGTTATGTTTCCAATAAGAAAACCTTTGTTAAACATTTTACTATCGAGAAATGATTCACACACTTCAAGTATTGAACTTTGTTAAAAAATGTCTATTTCTGAAATTTACCACCATATGCTTCACTTTTGTAAGTAATGAGACCAGTAGGTGACGCTCCAGTCAATATTTTAATAGTATGCCTCTTTTTGTAGTCAGAGTAATTTTTTAGCCTACAACAAAGACATTTGGCTTGCTGTATTGGGATTTCGGTACAATCAAGTAGTAGTACTCTTACTTACATAGAGGCACATTATTTAATATTTCTTGTTTTGAAGGCCGAATTATACCATACTAAGAACTTCTACCAGTTTTATTAAAAACTGTTAAAAAATTTAACGATAAAAAGTTTCATTCACTCCAAATAAAATGAATAAGACATTATATCTTGTATATCAGTTTTCAACTTCATAAAAGTAAATATAACTTGATCCTTTACAGACATAACTGATCTCCTTTTTCCTATTCTTTAGAAACAACTCTGCTACTAATTCCACAATGGTGGCTAATAACTGGAAGGATTGCAATCCTATTAAAGTAGATAGTTCTTTAGCACTAACAATTCTGTTTGAAAACGGATCAACTAAATCACCACTCTTCACTTGTGTTGAACAATCGATCCCAATTTTCTGCTTTTAAACAAAGTTTTGTAAATTAAGCAAAGCTATTCAGCAGCACACAAATTTTCATTATCTGCTTCAGTAGTAGATATATGTCCATTAACTGCAAAAACACATTAAACATAATAATAATAATAATAATAATAATAATAATAATTAACCAAACATTTTAAATTATGCATACGTACATCCATTGCCTGAAGAAGATAACTCAACACTTAACATTCTACTAGTACTGGCAACATATCATTATTAAAGACAGTAGCCATAATTCTTGTTTTAGCTGGATTACTTTTCTTTTTATTAATAGTCGCTTTCTTTTTACCACTAATCTGAGCTAACTTACATCGACTAAGCTTAGTTGTACGTTCTTTTTGTGATTGTAAGTCAGAATCTTTATTTCCCTCTTACCGATGCTAAGGTACACGGATCTTGACGTCAACTAAGATTGCACTTTGTACCTAGTCCATTTTACTATGATGTTGATCAGATTTCCACTGGTGGAATTTTATTATTATTCATCAAATCATTCACATTCACCGCCAAAATAATCCTTAATTGTCTAAAGGGACAAACTTTAGAATGTGAAAAAGCTACTAACTTTAAATCTTTAAAAAGTTCATTCAATTTTTGCATAATATCTGCTTTTATAATGCGAAATAAATTTTAAAAGAATAATCAAGTGTCCGAATAGTGCCACTATACAGTAGTCATGGTCTAAAGTTAGTTATATACACATGAGTGTAAAATTGTTTATATCTATGTTCAAAATTGGTTAGATCTCTTAAAATGTTTTGAAAATTGGGAAACTAGACGTTACGGCTCAAAATCCTTTTTTAAAATACCTAACGCAAGCTCCTGTCTTGAAATAAACATACAGATATTTTTTTTTTTTAATTCAATTCGTACTTTGATGAAATATGTGTTTTAAACTCATTTGGGCCAGACCGATTCTGCCTGGTGAGCACTCGGCAAGCCAAGCAATATGACCCGCTTTTCGTCGTCTTGTTTATATATGGATGAGCAGTCTATTAATCTATATATGTCATTGATACGCATGCGTAGATGTCAATTTTCACGTATACGTTAACGTTCATAGCATCACTTCAACTCTCTGATGTTTATGTGATTTGTGCATACAATCGTCATATAAACAATGTTAATCAGTGGCGGCTTGTGATCAAAATATTGGGGGTTCATAATGACAGAATATCGATCTCAGAAAAGAAGTAGTTAAAAACTTTCAGTGTTTTAGAAAAGTATAATAAAATTTTATCGTCAGTCCACGTCGACATTGTAAATTCTTCAAAAATTGCTACTTTGTACCTACCACACTGAAATATAAACTGAGAGATTGGCGATCGTGCGGAGACACAAAAGCAACTACAACTGATTACCTTTGATCCATGTGTGAAAAACCGATTCCCGATAATCACTGCCATTCACGGCCGATTACTGACAAATAGGCTTTCCAAATGATGGCCGATCGTGTACTGAGATTTGTAATGAGAAACAGAGAAAGAGAAAGAGGAGAACTAAAAATACAAGAAATTGTAAAGGCGAAACAAGTTTTGTATGAGAGCAATTCAAGAAGAATGTTATAGAGTTGATCTAAAATTTCTAAGGACGAATTGAAAACAAGGAAAATTGCGAAGTGTTAAGTGGCTCCAACAAAGAAAATGTGTATTTTATACCAATTGTTCCTTTGTTTAGAGGATGGTGCAATTTGTTTAGCAGGAAGAACTAATAATACATCAGAAATAGAAATTGAAAAAAATTTACCCGAAAAGCATAGGTACACATATTGATTAGTACAACACTACCACATTCATCTTGACTATAAAGGGTTGCAGACTGCCTTAAACGAAGTTAGACAAACATTTTGAATTGCTCAGAGAAGAAGATTCGTTTCAAAAGTTAATAAGTGTATAATATGTTCATTAAATAAGTTAAACCAATGATACCCGAGTTGGGTCAACTACCTAACTTTAGGGTCACCAAACCACCTAGAGCCATTTACTTTGGGCCTATGGTGGTAGTTCTAACAGGGAAAAGATATAAAAAATAGGGAGTCTTCTTTAAAAGCTTATCCATTAGAGCTGTACACATCGAAATAGCAGACTCTAACAATGGACGGTATTTTGGCACTTTGAAGGTTCTTTACGGAAAGAGTGCAGCCATCGACTATCTGGAGCGACAATGACACCAACCTGAAGTCTGCATCTAAAGAACTAAAACTAGCCTTAAAAGAATTAGGCGAAAGCAAGTTTCATCGTGAAATATTAGCAAAGGAAGTAGTTGGAGATATATTTTACCAGCAAGTCCTTACATGGTTTGATCGAGCCTGAGAACGAACGGTTCGATCAAAAAAATGTAAAATTAATTTTGAAATAAATTATAGTGAAATAATAAGTATTTTATACATTTTTATTAGAACCAGCGCATATTATAGTCAATAGTCGTTCTCTGACCTGTTTCGTCAAACCATGAGGACCCTGAAAGTCTCACACCAAATCACTTCCTCATAGGTACTTCAAACATAGCCAAGCCACATATTTTACCTGACTATGATAAAAGATATGAAAAAGCAGTGGAGATTTTCCTAAAAGCTGTCAGAAAGCTTCTGGCATCGATGGGTGCGGGAAGCTCCCGAAGAGATCGAGATTGTACAAGAAGGAAAATAACCTCAAGAAAGAAGACATAGTAATTCTGACAAGAAACAACTGGATATTGGAAATAATTATTAACACTTATCAAAGAGCATACGGGAAAGTACGAGTAGTTGAAGTCAAAACGAAGACTAGGACCTACAGAAGACCAGTAACCAAGATATGTCCCATAGGCTTACTTGAAATGAGTAACATCTAGAAAATCTGTTACAGGGAATGTTATATTTTGGCATTGACGATACTAAGTGTCCACATGAACTACCGTTTTACGTCATATGTTAAACTCGAGCTAGTGGAGCTAGTCAGTTTTGGTTAGAATAAATGCCATTTTTTTAAATAGCTTCATTTAAATGATAAAAAACATTTTAAACTAATAAATTGTTGAACAATAAATCACTCAAAGTGTTGCCATCTGTTATATCGCAAAATAGTGTTTATGTCGTCTCTACTTCATTTTATCTCGAAGGATTTGGGCGTTATACATTGTTGTAAATTTGTAAATGATAATTATATTGTTATTAAGTTTTGTTGTATGTTCCATAATTTCAAAATGTATGTTAAAAATATATCTTAGAAGAATAGAAAAGCCATAAAGTCAGGTTTGTCTTATTTCTTTAAAACTTACCATTTTCTGAAGGTAAAGCTTACATTTATGACTTTCTAATTTTTTTAAATTGTCTTATCTACATACATTTCAAAATCATGGAAAATATAACAAAACTTCGTAACAATCTAACTATCATTTATAAATTTACAACAATAATCGAATTAAATTACGGGTTTTGAGCTTACATTAAATTGTAATTAGATGAATCAAAATGGATTCTATGTATTTTGAGGTGATCTTTTCGAAAAAAGGCAAAACAAAATGTAGCAGTTTTTCGAAAGTGCCGAAATTTTGGATTTTGTCAATTTTTCAATTTTTCAATTTTGCGCAGGCGCATGTCGGAAATAAATCAATATTTTTAAAACGCAGTTTACAACATTTGAAAGCTTAGGAAAAATGCTAATTTTTATGTCTCTTGAGAAATTTTTATCCGATGCACCGTTCTCGCGGTATAGACGATTGAAATTTATTTAGTATTTTGAGGCGACGAAGGTCGAAAAATTGAATTTGTTAAATGTTCAAACACTAAATTCTTCATAACATTGGTAAAAATTAAGATATTTGAAAAAACAAAAATGCGTTTTGAACTTAAGGGATGTGACTAGTAATTCCCAGAAGGGGGCAAAAGAAATCCCAAAATTGGGCATATGGCGGAAGGGCAAAGTGTACCGCGGTCCTAATTTCATTGTTTGCCTATAACGGCGAAACTATTTTAATTTTTTTAATACCACTTACAAACCTTACTCTTAAATGTGAAATCTTATGTGTGTGTAAATTTCACCGACATCGGATCATAATTGGCTAAGATATCAAACAATTAAATAAATTTTTTTCCTTAAAAAAAATTAATTTATTTTTCGAAAGTTTGAAAAGGCACAAAAATGCCAAAAATGCACCCAATGGCTCAAAACTTTTTTTTTTTGAGTACTCTATTGTGTCTAGAATACGATTACATTATGGAAAATTCTGCAAATATATTTTATCTATTTTTTGACCACTGTTCATTGAGTGACGACCAAAAAACACGGTTTTTGAGAAAAGTTGCCTTAAATTGACAATTTTTAGTTTTTTGGTCTGAAAATTAAGCAAACCCAAATTTCATGTCTTTTAAATGTGTATACAAAGTTTAAAGTGTGTATGTTTCTTCTAAGTTGTAGAATTCTCCCGACAAAAGTCCCATTACACGCGCTCCGCGGGATCCAAAACTCGCGTATACACTACATTACTGTAATTTGATTTTTTTGCGATTTCCAGTTTTAAATTTCTTACTTAAAATTTATTAAATTGTATTTTACTGACTTGTTATAAGACGTTTCTTGAGTTTTGTGCAAAATATAGAATTACCGTCAAATTAGCCGCACGTCGCATCAAGGATAGTAATGGTTTCGGCGTTCGCTATCTGACAAGTTTAAACTTCAAACGGTCATATTTTTACAAATTGAATCGCTTGATAGTGTTCATCGGCATAGATTTTTAATAACCGTGTTCAGCAAGCTCTGTGAACACGTGGCTTTTCGAACTTCTCAGAAATTTATTGAGTAAGTACATTCCTAAATTAAGAAAATTCTATCACAATGCTATAATTTTTTTTTCAGGTTGCAATGGCTGGCCTGTGTTTATTATGTCATCAGACACTTGCAAAGGGTGAACTATTGCAGATTTGCAATTCGACCTATGACATTCGAAATATAACCGAAAACTACGCATTTCTGTGCTTAGAAAATTGCTCGTAAAACGAGTGGTTTTTTCTTAAATCCAACATTTTCCCTTTTTTTGAGAAAAAACAAGCACACTGTCGATTTTTTCCGTAATTTGGGCACTTTACAGACTGAAAATACATTAGAATCAGTAAGTTTATTGAGAAACAAGCTTACTTTCTCTCCCAATTGCCAGAAAATTCGAGTAGCTTCAATTCTCGCGAGAATTACCGATCTTTGCACACGTGCGCTCAGAAAACAGTGGATGCTAGAAAAAATGTATATGCCACAGTTTTTCGTGTCTTTTTTTGGAAACAGTTTTCTATTCAGATAATTAGTTTTCGAGTTAATTAAGAAAAAAGTACGAGAAATTAGGAAAAAATTGTTTTGCAATTTTTTTCAAAAAGTTCGGAACGTAACTAAAAAATACGTATTTTTGTCATGCATATATATCTTCTCCCATTCAAGTTTTCTTGTAAATAACTAAAAACCAGATATTAGAGAACAAAAAGCAAGCTTATCACCAAGTTGGAACTTACACTCAGGCTTAGGATTAATTTTCTAACATTTTTAAAGTATACCTTTTTGTGTATTTTTTTGTGCTCTTTTCGATGGCGAAGTAAGTTTTTCAAATATATTTTTTTTGTTAGATGTTTTCGGAAAACCCGGAAAAAATCATATGGGAAAAAAATTAAAAAAAAACTACGCCCTCCGGTTTCCTGCGAATTTCCGAAAAATTATGGCAGATTTCGCCGCGGGACTTATTTTATTTGAGAACCAAAAAAAAAAAAAAAATACGCAACTTCACTCATGGGCACATATGTCTAACATTTTTAATTTCGCCACAAATTCATCGCAAATTTCATGTCCATGATTCTGATCAAAAAAACGAAAAAACGACTTTTTGGTAAAAGCACTTCTGGAGGCGATAAATTCGCCATTAAAACTACCTGTGCAATGAATTTCCGAACTATTTTTGCCTCCTCTTTCGAATGGTGCATTTATTTTCACTATCGGAATGATACTTGCCCAGATAATTAGCATTTTTACAATGGAAAATTCCGGAAAACCCGGTTTTTCCTAATTTAAAAAAAATTGAAAAACTGCTACATCTTTTTTTTCTTTTTTTCGGAAAGATCACATCAAAATACACAAGGTCCTTTTTGTTTCATCCAATTACAAATTAATGTAAGCTCGAAGGGACTTTTTTTCGTTATTTAATTGGACTACAATGTATAAAATCCAAATCTAGCACCCCGAATTCAGGTACTATGCTTGGTTGGTTTTACAACGTTCTCTACCTTCCTGGGAGGCTCTTTCCGGTTCTAGACCGAAGTAGATATGTCGCCGCTTAACTAGAGCTTACATTCGAAGATAACGTGTTATGAGGTTTCTTCCTCTTCCATGCAGAATCTAAAGGTGGTGAGATCATTGTGAAATCCCTTTACATGGAGGTGTTTCAGCTGGCAGTATCCCGTTAATAATTCTACAATGGTTGATATTTGGGGCTTGCGAGCTGTTATTCAGTAATCATGTGAGTTTGGCCTCCTTAGCTACTGATTATTGGTCCTCATATCTATTGTCAGTTATTATGGTGTTTAGTGCGGTTATCCACATGTTCACTGCTCCTAAGAAAATTACGATGGTTTGTTTTTTACTTCCTTCTTAAGTTCTCGCTTATAATTCAATAAAATGTATTTCAGCCTGAAATTTTTCTGCGACATGCTTATTATTTATTGGGTGGGTTAAAAGTAAAATAAAGTCAACAAAAAGTCACTTACAAACTTTTAAAACGTCAGGAATATCAACGTTACATGTATCTTTGCTAATAAAAATAATTTCTTACCTGTAATATTATAAATATGGTGATAAAGAGAATGATAACACAAAGACACGCTATTATTGCTATTCCAGTGATAAAATTGAATGGATTAACTATTTGTAGAGTAGACACAGGTTGGGCGGATAATAGAAGAGCTTCCACGTTGATTTTCCTTTTGCCTTCTTGCATCTTGCATCCTACAACAAACAAACATTATGTTCATTTAATATCCCGACTGTTGGTAATATTTATTTATCTTGATAAAAATAGTGAAAAACACAAACAATGGGGAATTCTCCTTTGAAAAGTAAATACATAAATAATGAAAAATATCTAAAATATATGGCAAAAGAAACACCCTGAAAAATTTTTGCCCCTTAAAAATGTTTTCTAGTTAGTTAAAATTGGAAAAGAATGAATTAATGAATGTCTATTAAAAATGACACTATCTGTATTCTCAAAGACAAATCGACATTTTAAAATCGGTGACATATTTGGCGAATGGTAACATCTGACAACATGCGATAGAAACATAAAAGACGAGTATATTACAGCACACAATTACTTGAAGAATCTATTAGTAATACAAAATATTACTGAAAATATATCCCGAATATATATCTTTTTGATAAATACTAATTAGAAAGTAGAGAAAACATAAAAACTTAAAGGTCTGTGATATATATTCTTTTTCACCATAATTTGAAAAAATAAAGCATATAAATTTCTTAATGACATGGATTAAATCTCTTCGCCAGACAAGACTAATGATTGATAACTTAGGTGAAATTGTAAATAATCTATAAATTTTTAAAAACAATTTATAGAATACTTATTTTTATTTCTCTTAAAATTAAACATAAATTGTCACTGTCACAACTCTCATATTAAGCATTCCAACGACCTGTAAAACAATGCGCTAGTTCAGTGATGATGTAATTATGGTTCCACTGACAATTAAAGTGACAGTAGATTTCTGAGTGCGTTTTGTTTGTTTTTTTACCTAAATTATATCGTTTTTTTCACTTTTATAAATATATTCTTAAAGTAAGTAGATAGCATGTATCAAATATACAATCGTTTAGTTACCAATTACATATCTTTAAACTATTTTTTATGACCTGTAAACAATATTTTGAAATAAAATAAAAAGAGTAAAAACGTATATGTCAAATTTATTGATGTTTTTGTTAAAAGTTTGGTTAGAATTAAATGTCAGTGAACTAGCGCATAGGTGCCAGTGGGAAGTTCTTGTATATCTAAGGGGGTAGCGACATAGCCTTGCTTTGACGCTATTTTTATTCGAAATAGTAGTCGCCAAGCCGGCCAATTTATGAAGAAATGTATAAGCGGGTTTTCTAAATATTATTTTTATTGTGTTTGACAAAAATATTTAAATGTAATCCATTATTCATGATTTTACGTATAATAGATAGAATACATCGTATGTCGCAACTCTTAGATATACCAAACCTTCCCACTGGCAATTCATTTGTTTGGAATGCCTCATTGTAACATTATCTTTAAAAAGGTATGTGACATTAAAATGTCGACTGGTTAAATACCACTCGACTTTATGTCTAACTGAAAATGTCGAATTCGCCATTCGAGAATACGTTTTTACGCTCTTGTTCGACATTTCATCAATATTGCGTGTGATTTAGAAATAGACATTCGAGAATAGGGTTCCTGGTATTTAAAGTTTAAAGGGCTACGTTTTACTTTGGACATTTGGCAACGGTGTAAGCTTGTTTCTTAGGGATTCGTTCTGAACTTGGAAAATCGCTTCCATCCTTTTTTCTCATTTAAGAGAAAGGGAGAGGGATTTCTGCATAAATCGAATTAATTCCTCAACCCTATATTTGTATGTTGTCAGTTGTGAGTTTTCTGTTCTAACCTAATCATCTTTTATGTGTTTATATTTTTATCGATATTTTTATAGTGTTTTTACAGCAGTTTACTAATATTTACTAATTTTATCAAATTCGAGATATTCTTAAAAAAGAACACCTACTACTTATTTATAATGCCTTGGCTGAGTCGCTGCTAAAATATGGCATTCTAATATGGGATGGGCTTCTAGACAACGCTCTCGATGGGCTGGACTCGACACAGAATACGTTGTTAAAAATATTGTTCAGAAAGGACCGTAGATATCCAACAAACCTATTATATAAAGAATTAGACATTTTCAATATTAAACAACTATATATTTACGAAACATCTTTATGGGCAATTTCTAATACTGAAAAACTTCCTTAGCTTTCACACACTGCTTCCACAAGAGCTCTACTAAATAAGCAGATGCCAATTTCTCTTTTTAAAAAAATGCACACCCAAAACTTTATCTCGTATTTTGGCCCCAAAATATATAACCTAATTCCTACATACATAAAAAAATATTAAAAATGAACGATCTTTAAAAAATGAACTTAAAATATTTGTACAGAAAAACTACAGTAAAATTAAGAAGGAAATATTTAATATTTTTTATTAATTTAATGCTACATAATAACATATTCTTCAGTATCAGAGAGTAGCCTTTCTTTTCTTTTTCTTTATTAGTCTTGTATTTTATATTTTTATAATTTTTATTATTTTTGCTATTTTTATAATTTCTGCTAATTTTTATTTTTATAATTGTTTTGATTTTTGTATTTCCATATTTCTCTATCTTTTTTTTTGTTGTATTTTAAAATTCTAAATTCTTTGTTTTTGTTTCTATAGTATATACTTAGATATAATTTAAACAGCATTTATAAAACGTAAAAAAAAACTAAAAAACTAATATAAAGATTCCGCACACAAACTTTGTTTAGACGGGTCTTAAAAAATTGTTAAAAAAAATATAAATTATTTTAATGAATAAATTTGATTTGAAATTTGAATTTAATAATAAATTTATAAATTATATAAGTAAATAAATAAATGTATAATGACCATATTTATAATTATATGTTACCTACCTTATAAAAAATTAGTGTAACATATATTGTAGTGATCTTCACCACAGTACTTTCAACTTTTTGTAAAGTTCTACAGACTTAAACAAACCATAATGTTCTCATATTCAAGTCCCTAAGATAAATATAAATGTTTTGTTTGGTGTAGTATCTACTGAATTTAAACAATTTGGTACAATACACTTATCCAACACATAATATTTCATCTTACAAAAAGCAACAGCAAAAAATAAAATATACTAAACGTCTATCCCCTAAGGAAAGGCATTATATTACCTATATGTGTATTTTATATACATTCCAATTTAGTGTAATCTAAATAAAGCAGCATTATTTTTGTATTATTATTAATTATTATTATATTCGTGTATAAGCAATATTTAGATTAGAATAGGACCCTAAACTACAAGAAATATCTGGATTATTTTATGGACATAAAATCAAACACCTTTTTAGGTAAATTGGGAAACGTTGAGTAAAAATATACAAGCAACTTGTAACCGCCAATACTTTCGGATTGCTAATGACAACAGACAACTGACTAGAGATGGGTTGCTATTGCGTAAGCTTGAAGCAGATGTTATTCGACTTTAGAAAAAGCTGCTACTAACAACATAACCTAACTAGGTCGTTTGAGATCACATTTCACGTCTTTTGTCTGCGAATGTTTTAAATTCGCTCGTGGCTAGCATCAAGCAAAGCAGTAACGAACCCTGTTCGGGACGTTTTTAAATTCAACTCGCAACACAAAGCAGTAACTGCTACTCAAAAATTGCTATTCTGCTAATCCTTGCGCACGTGCCGGCGTCATCCGCCGTGGTGATTTAATACGCACGAGCATCTTTTCGTAAAAACTGCTTCCCATAGAGCATTCATTATTTCAGCAGTGTTTCTGAAATATTTGAAACGTTTCAAACATATAACATTTCAAGCAGAAGTTTCTGAAATATTTAGTCAAATATTTTATTGAAAATGTTTCTGAAACATGATATAAATGTTATTAAACTGGTTATGTTGTAAAAGGTCAACACTTAATGAAGAATTTCTGATATGTTGTTATTTTATTTCATCCTATATCCTTCCTCCATGGTCCAGCCAGAGACAACCCTATATTCCAATTAATAAGAGGTTTGCGTTGTTGGTTTTTTCCATTTTCTTTTTTTGTTATTTATGCGTTGCGCTGTTGTCATATTGGAAGCAGAATATATCTTTAGAAATCGAGGTGAGTACTACATAAATAATGCTTGTTTAGGTTAGGTTTATTTGCTTTATCTCGTTGAGACAAGTGATACCATTACGTTTATTAAAATTACAGGCAGTTTAAGTCTTATTTTTATCTAAATATAACCTTCATTTGCTGTCCCTCCAACTAGAGTTTTATTTATTAGTTCTACAGCTCTGATTGAAAAGCGGAGCTACATGTTTTGTTTAGGCATGAGTATTGTTTGTTTTATTATAGTTATTTTAAAACAATATTAATAAAATTATTGTTAATCAAATAATTTGTATCAAATCCTTTTTTATATAAGTACATATAATTTGTTTCAGTGCATTTAAAGGAATTTGTGGAAATAAAGCGATATTCGCCTTTATATTTAATGAAATAATGTTTAAAAATTATTTGATTGTTGTTTTATGTATTTTAAATAAACATGTATATTTTTTTTTAGTCTAATAACGTTTCATAATATTTATAAAAAAAAACTAGAATACATTTCTGAAATATTACTATTTAATATTTCTAAAAGATTTCAAGTTTTCGTTTCAGAAATATTACTGTGAAATATATTTCCAGGATATTTTTAGGTTTCAGGAACATTTCAGAAATGTTTCTGGGACGTTTCGTAATATATTTACACAACATTACAAATGTTACAATGTAACATTTTTAAAATAAATCCGAAATGTGTTTGTGCTGTATCGGTTCTTTTAGCAGCAATAAAAAGAAAAATCAATCAAAAAATAATCATTAATTATTTATAACAAATAAAAACAAAGTAGGTACCTAATCTCATCAGGTTTTTAAATTAGATTTTTTCGCATGACTAGTATTTAACGATTATAATCCAATAATCAGTTAAAATCACTACAACACATCTGCCCACATAACATCAATGTTCTATGAATATACTAAGAACGTTCTGTTTATGTTCTTTTTAGTATGTCCTTTTTAGTATGTTCTTAGAACATACCTAGTATATAATTTGAAAGTATATTCTAGAAAGTATATGGTGAGCACGTGCATTAAAAGTATATTCCAAAAAGTATATACTGAGCACGTGCTATAACAGGACTTTCTAAGAAGATACTAAAAGTCATATACCCAGCATGTACCTCATATTCTGAGAATGTTCTAAATGCTTGCAGGTAAAAATTAACACCAAATACATGTAAAAAAAAAACGTTTATATACATATCTATATGAATTTTTCCCAGATACCTATCTATTGTTTAGGCCAAAAATAACCTTAATAAAAGATAAGAAGAAGAAGAAGAATAACATAACCTACAATTCCTAGAAATTTCTTTGATCTCGTTTCAATAAGTAAATTAGTAAAACTTAATTGCATCGTGTGTTCTATATAAAAATAAACAAATTTTACTATATTTGTAGTTTTTAGGACCTATAAGTGAAGTTAGAACACAGGATATCCGAAATATTAATTGCCAGTGTGAATTTATTAATATGGTTAATACTAATGGTGGATTAAAACTAAAATTTAGTGTTACCAGAATTACATACACACTTTCTATGAAAAAAATTTTGTAAGGCCAGAAATTGACCTGGAAGAACTAGAAAATAAGCTAAAGGAAGAGAAAAACTACAAAATGGTGGTAAGTAATTAACAAAAATATATTTAAACTTTCACTAAACATAATAATCATTTATGTAACTCTTGTTTTTGTTAGTGAAATGCCATGTACAATTTTTAATGTTTCACGTTCGACAAAAATATTAAAATATTCAATTAGCTATGTACAGTTAATTTGTATATGTACCAAGTTTGTTGATGTTTTTTATTTTTTAGGTTCAATGACGATCCAATGTAATCAAGCAAATGAAACTCAAGCCTGATACAATGAAATATTGGTTAGTTAAGGCCAAAGGAAGAATTTGTATTAAAAATAAGAATAAGTATGATTTTTTGAAATAAAGATTTCATTTTATACACTTATTCTTTATTGTTCAATATTAATGAAACATCCTATATTAGGGTGTCTAGTATATGCCTAGCATATGCTATATTTAAATACTAAGCATATACTTAGAACTTACTATTAAATTAAAGTAGATATTGCATACTGTACACATACTCGAGTACATTCTCTGCATCCGCATAGCACGTATAAACAATGTCACGTAGCATATTCTTGGTGTCATATATGTTGGATGTAAGTTGGCACCACTGTGCATGTTGGCACTCACTGTGTAAATTGGCAACTGTGGAATGACAGTTCAGTTTCAGCGGTAAAAGATACACACTCAACATATTGGTACGCTTAAATAAAACTAATGAAAACCAACATCTCAGTTGTTTCATTAAAGTAAATATTATATGGTGGCCGCGGTAAAACCAATAAACGCACACACGATAAATGTAAACGTGAAAATACGGAAAATACGTGAAAATATCGTGCGGCGCGGACTAACAATTTGAGGTTATACAAGAATAAACAAACTGTTATAGTGTTCAATTACGTGAAATACGGCAAAAACTTACTGAAAACAGGATGGCTGAAAACTCAAAAGCCCCAACTGAACTCAACTTTAAAGGGGACATTGCTAAACACTGGAAACTTTGGAAACAAAAGTTCGAACTGTACCTGAAAGCCAGCGGGAAAACCGCCAAAGCCGATGATGTCAAAATCGCGATTTTATTAAACCTGTTGGGCGATGAAGGACTCATCATCTTCAATACCTTCGAATTTGAACCTGCGGAGAATAGAGAAAAACTAAATATAGTCCTTCAAAAATTCGATGAATATTGTAACCCCGTAGTTAACGTTGTATATGAACACTACAAATTCTTCAAACGTGATCAAAACATGGGAGAAACGGTCGATGAATTTGTAACGGCACTGAAAAACCTAGCAACTACTTGTGAATTTAAGGAGAAAGACACAATGATTCGGGACAGACTGGTTTTGGGAATTCGAGACGCGAGAATTCAAAGAAAACTACTAGAACACCCTAATCTTAAGTTGACAGAAGCCTTGGATATTAGTAGGTCAATGGAAACAAGTGCTGCGACTTTAAAAGAAATAACTAAAGAACAGACTGTTCCAGTAGTGAGTGTGATAAAGCGGAAAACTACACATTTTCAAAAGCCAGGACAGTCTTCAGCCCATAACTCTGACTATAGAGCTAAAACTGAGCAATCAGACAGGAAAGGTAACACTTGTAGCCGTTGTGGCTATAGCCACATTGAAGGTAAGTGTTTAGCAAATAATAGATATTGTAGCCGATGTAATAAAAAAGGACATTACAGGAAATTCTGTAAAAATACTCAAATAGTACATGAAATTGCTGAAGAATCACAAAATAGCGATAGCGATTATGATGAAAATGAGATAGACTCTGATAGTGAACCTCATCAAATTATCTGGTCTATAACCAATCCTAATATATCTGCTATTGAGTGGTTTGAATCAATAAATGTCTCGGGACACAATTTGAACTTAAAAATCGATACAGGCAGTCAAGCTAATATTCTAAATGCAAAAGACTTTAAAAAGCTTAAAATACCTTGTGATGTGCTTTCGTTGACAAAAACAGTACTGTCATCTTACTCGGGCCATACATTAAATGTGATCGGACACTTAAATCTTACTTGTGAATTTAAAAACTTTAAAAAGACTTTTCGTTTTTACGTGTTGGACTCACCTAACCCTAGTTCAATTCTAGGCCTAGATGCAGCATGCGAATTAAAAATTATTAATGTTAATAAGACTATTAGTACGGTAACGGTCGCGAGTTCACAAGAAATTTTGAACAATTATAAGTCAGTTTTTACAGGTATCGGTAAACTAACACATAAACAATGTAAAATTATTCTTAGAGATGATGCCACACCTGTTATTTGTGCGCCAAGAAAAATTCCTATAGCTCTTCAAAAAACAATCAAAGAAAAACTAGATGATATGGTCTCTCAAGATATCATTGTACCAGTCACAGAACCAACTGACTGGGTACACCCCATTGTTGTTGTTGCCAAACCTAATGGTGATGTCAGAGTTTGCATTGACCCTCGTACTCTGAATAAATACATAAAACGAGAAATTTATCAGATACCTACACAAGATGTTCTCTTTTCTAAATTATCAGGTAGTAGATTCTTTTCCCTACTAGATGCCTCTTCTGCATTCTTGCAGGTTCCTTTATCTGAAGAAAGTTCGTTTCTCTGTACTATTTCTACTATCTTCGGCAGATATCGGTATAAAAGACTTCCATATGGCATTTGTTCAGCACCAGAAATTTTCCAGAGAATTGTTGATGAAATTTTAGTTGGGTTAGATGGTGTAATAGCCTACTTTGATGATATCTTGGTATACGGCCAAACACTTGAGGAGCATAACCTTAACTTAAAAAACGTCTTGGAGAGAATTCAAAAACATGGTCTAACACTAAATCTTCAAAAATCCAAAATTGGCAAAACCAAAATCAAATTCTTAGGTCATGCTATAAGTGACACAGGCATATCCCCTGATGAAAATAAGACACAGGCCATTAGACAAATGAAACCCCCAAAAACTCGAAAAGACTTACAACGGTTTTTGGGAATGATTACTTATCTTGCCAAATTTATACCAAATTTATCTCAGGAAACTAGTAATCTTAGAAGTTTGTTGAGTGAAAAAAATGAATGGCAATGGACTGAATCACATGATAAATGTTTCAGTCGTCTTAAAAATCTATTGTCTCGAGATGTCGAATTGGCATACTTTGAACCAAATCAGGATGTAACTCTATCAGTAGATGCTAGTCCATTTGGTATAGGTGCTGTCATTATACAAAATAATCACCCCATAGAATATGCTTCGGTCTCCTTGACCCCCGCACAACAAAGATGTAACCATACCCAACAAACACCTTACTGCCGGGAAACTCGCGGCCTAGTGATGGAAGTGATGGCAAAGTGAGGGCTTCGGCTAATAGTATTATGGGCCGCCACTTGTCCATCACTTATGGGCCAAATCAGGTAAATTACTGATGGCCTGATGATGGGAGACAGTGTGTTTCCCAACGTTTATTTTTTCCACTGTTGGCCTAAAGCTGGCCTATATGAGGCTGTGGCTGGTAGATATGTTGAATAAAAAAAGAAGTATAGATAAAAAAGAAGCGCACACTTAACCTATAAAAAAATGTGGTTATGTAGTTTTTGTTTTACCGAATTTTGCGAGGGAACAAGGTCATTTTTTTCCTAGACTTTATTTTCACGGCTAAATTCTTTTATTTTGTGTTAAGTACAGTTTATATACGTGATCGCGATGAGCAGCCAACAGTTTTTTAATAACAAGTAAGTGTAAATATAGATAATAATTAATATTAAAAGTTTTATATTTCTGTTCGCGCCCGCCTAAAAGCATTGTCTAACATCAAGAGATGTCTAAAAGTGATCAGCTCTCAGTTGCAATCAGTTGCTTTTTTGTTAATTACCTACCTACTTTGCAAGCATGTCTGAAACAAAAAGAAAAAGTAAATCTTACATGTACCGGAATATTAAGAAAACCATCACCGAGTCTCTGCTTTTGTGTGATCTAGATAAAAAAGTTGATCAACCCTCAACCTCAAAAAGACTTAAACTTGATGCTTGTACTAGTACAAGTGTACAAAGTGAATCTAAATTAAATTCATCTGACTCCTCAGATATAGAAAGTTCTTCACCTAATTTTCCAATTTCATATGAAGATTCTTCCAATTCTGATGCAGATTCTCCCATTCCTGATGCAGATTCTCTTATTTCCGTGTCCTTTCTTAATGATATACCAGTTAGTCCAGAAGTACCTGTTGCTCCAGATCCTGTGATACCATTAAACATATCAAGAACTTTTCTGAAAGATTGGGCACTTTGTCATAATATTACTCATAATGCTTTGGATGCTTTACTGACATTTTTAAAGACTAATCCTGATTTGTCAGATTTGCCAACATCTGCAAGGGCACTATTAAATACTCCAAAATCTATGGAAATTGAGGAACTAGGAGGAGGACATTTTTACTATTTTGGCTTGGCTCAAAATTTAACACGCATCATTGAGTTAACACAGTGTGATATCTTGGATTTAGATTTTGGAATAGACGGATTACCTATTTACAAAAGCTCTAATCTATCTTTTTGGCCTATCCTCTGTAAAATTCATAAAATAGTTCCTCCTCCAGTTTTTACTGTCGCAATATTCTGTGGAAAAAGTAAACCTCCATTGAATGGCTTCTTTAAAAAATTTATTGAAGAAATTAATTTATTGCAAAAAAATGGACTTAAAGTGGATAATAAAATTATTAAAATAAATATAAGATCATTTCTTTGTGATACTCCAGCAAGATCTTTCATTAAGTGTGTCACTGCCCATAATGGCTATTTTGGATGTGACAAATGTATTGATAAGGGCAATTATTTTAATAGAAGAATGAGATTTTTAAAATTACATGCTACCCTTAGGACTAATTTAGACTTTAGAAGTAAGAATAATAACACCCATCATAAAGGAGAAAGTCCACTAGAAAAAATAAAAACTATTGATATGATTAATTCTTTTCCTCTCGATTATATGCATAGTGTATGTTTGGGAGTTATGCGTAAGCTACTATTTGAATGGAGAGATGGAAGCAGAATATATAGATTAAATGCAGGAGATTTTGATAACTATGTTAAAAGTATTAAACATTGGCCCTTTGAATTCAATAGAAAACCCAGAAGCATTTTAGAATTGGAAAGATGGAAAGCATCAGAGCTTAGACAATTTTTGCTGTATACTGGATGTGTAGTTTTAAAAAAGTTAATGTCACCCCAGATATATGCTAATTTTATGCTTTTAAAGTTTGCTTTAACAATATTGCTCAGCAATAGTCTAAACAATGATTATAATCACTATGCCCAGACATTGTTGCTAATATTTGTAAAAAATGCAATAAAAATTTATGGAAGAGATTTTTGTATATACAATACACACTCTTTAATTCATTTAGCAAATGAGGCTAGACTGTTTGGAGATTTAAATTCTATAAGTTGTTTTCCTTTTGAAAATCACCTACAAGTAATAAAAAATTTGCTGAGGAAACCAAATTTGCCACTTCAGCAAGTAATTCGAAGAATTTCAGAAAGAGAAAGTGATTTAAGTTTTCAGATAAAAAAAAAGGATATTTATGTAATGGGAAAGCCAGTGAATCCATCAAAAGTAACTCAAGAATTTGTACACTATGTGAACCAGAAATTGTATACTAAATTGTGTTTTGGAAATAAGTATTTTTCCATTTCTCGAACTTCTGGAAATAAAATGGTCATGCTAAAGAATGGACAAATTTTTTCATGCTGTTTTTTTTTAGATAATGAACAATTCACTATCATTGGAAAAAAATGTGACATTATTAAACCCTTTACCTCCTATCCTACCGATTCTTCAGTTTTCCATTTGTATGAAATTCAGTTTTTAAGTGATGAACTAGTAGAGTTTAGTGCTGAAATTGTTATGTGCAAGGGAGTGGTCCTGGCTTTCGAAGATACTTTTGTGTTTACTCCACTAGTTCATTTATTTTAGCAGCAATACAAAAATGTGTTGTGTTACTAATTTATTTTTTATTATTTTGCATTTTATTTATAGAGACTATTATGTAGTGGAGTTTCCAGAGGAAGCAGATACACCTTTGGCAGTAGTTCCTTATTGTTGGCTAGATATTAATGAAAATAACAAAACCATATGTATGTGGCCCAATGGCTTCAAAAGTAATAAACAGCTGACCAATGCAGTTATTTCAAAACAAGAAATACCAATTTCAGAAACCGTCCCTTGTAGAATTACAGTAAAATTTAAAACAAGTAAGTTAGATTAAACTACATTTATAAAACTTAATTATTTTGAAACTCACTAAAATAATAATTAATAAGACTTAATTTGTTTTAGATGATTATGAAAAAGCTCTCTTAGTTTTAAAAAAAATGGAAAATTCATCAAGTGTATCGTGTTTAACATCAGATGGGGAGCGGAAAGGAAAAAGGATTTTAAAATGCCCTCCACGATATAGGGTTGATGATGACTTGGAAAGTTCAGATGAAGACAGTTTGCCCCCTGTTCCAGCTTTAAAAATAAAAACATTTGTGCCTCCTGTTTTGTCAGCTCCGACTTTTGGGACATCTCGGGATGAAATTCCCACTGAAACTCAATGCATAGAAATGGAAGAAAATCCAGCATATACTTTCATAGAAATTGTTCATATGCTTAAAAGAATTGAAAGTAAGTACATAATTTTTCAAGGAAGTTTTTGTGTCCAAAACAAATGTTATTTATAATGTTTTTATGGCATGTTGGACAATTTTTGGAATAGAAAAAAAGGCAGGCCCGGACGGGATTCGAACCCACATCCTCTGGATTACCAGTCCAACGCCTTACCAATTAGACTACCGGGACTTAATTGCTAAGACATCAAAATTTTTCTTATTCCATGGAATAAGAAAAAATGGTAGGGTCGGGTGTGTATTCGTATTTACAATTTGGATGTCTTAGCAATTAAGTCCCGGTGGCCTAATTGGTAAGGCGTTGGACTGGTAATCCAGAGGATGTAGATTCGAATCCCGCCCAAGCCTGCCTTTTTTTCTATTCCAAAAATTGTCCGACATGCCATAAACATTATAAATAAGTACATAATGTCTAAAAGAAACTTTTAGTAATGAATATATTCATATTCTCATAAGACCTTTTTTACATTTCAAAAATCATTAAATTTCTGACAGGAAGGGTATTTTTTAAATTCTACAAAATAATTTGGTTGTAACATTTACTTATTTTTTAAACTAAAATTAAATAATAAATTAAATTTCTGTATTTTTTAGAATTATGTGTTAATAATTCTACTAAGATTGAATCTTTGAAAAATGAGATTACTCACTTAAATAATGTGATTCAAAACAAAGATACGATAGAAAGAACCCAATTGGAAATAAAATCGATCAGTACAATTGATGACCTCAAAAAGTTGGAAGAGAATCTAAAAAGTGAAGATTTCTTTTCTAAGGCTGTAATAAGTATATAAAACGAAAATTCCATTTATTTATATCAATTTACTAACAACTTTAGTAAAGTTTTTCAATAATTTTAAAAACTGGTTATAGTTATTAAAAATTTTTTAGTTGATAGTATTGCTAAATGTTCTCCCTTTGTCATCCACATTTCATATATTTTAATATTTGTTTTCTCTATATTTACTTATTCCTTATTTTGCTTTTTTTAGTGCCAGTCATTGTCTATATTGGGTGGTAAAGACGGTACCAACACGGTACGAAGAATTATAACTCAACTATTAACACATCAGTTTGTCCTGACCTTAAATTGGTCAGGGCGAAATGATAAATGCGGTTTGAAGCAGTTCGAAAATGTTCTTCAATTAATTCTTGGTAAGTAACTATTACTTCTATAAATTCCTATTAACTTATTTTAGAAAAAATTTAGCTACTGCAAGGAAAAACATGTTTTCTAAGGATATTACAAAACAGGAAACTGAGTTCATCCTCAAAAATTGGTTAAGAAGTGCAGGTGATAGAGAGGGGGGAAGAGAAAGGAGGAGGAAAATATGATGTAATATCAGTTTTTTTCTAGAATATTTATTTTATTTTTTAGAATAATTTTATGTTTTTTATTTAAATCCAATTTGTTTACTGTTCCTTTCTGGTTTTAATAGGTTTTTTTATGATATGTATCTTGTTTTCTGTTCACTTGTTTATTTTTACTTATTATTTTGTGTTTTAATAAAATTTTTATTTTTTTTATATTTTAGTATAATTATTTTACTAATATATTGTTTCACAATATATAGCTCGTTTCAATTTTAAAAGTACCAGTTTTGGTTCAGAGGAAGGGGAATAAGTATAATACCCTAGGTCAATCAGAGGCCCTGAGTTTTGGCCTTATGATAGCCCCTTGTTGGGGACCCATTAAACAACTGCTGGCTAGCCGATCCGGGGGCAGCAGTTGGCCGTAGTGAACCTAGCCATGTAGGGGCCGGACCGGGGAAGCATTGATAGGCCAGAGCAGTAAGTATGGCCAGCCACTAAGGGACCATTGACATGCCTACAGAAAGAGTTTGTTGGGTATAGAGAAAGAATTAATGGCAATTGTGTTTGGATGTGAAAGGTTCAACTATTATCTATACGGTCGTAACTTTAACATCGAAACTGACCACCGTCCGCTTTTAGGACTCCTTAAAAAACCCTTAGATGATCTATCCCCCAGGCTTCAAAGGCTTGCTCTAAAACTTCTAAGATATAAATTTACATTAAACTTTGTTCCTGGAAAAAACTTATATATCCCTGACACTCTTAGCCGAGATCCCACAGAAGTTACAATAAACACTGACTATTTGGATTCAGATCTTAAGGTATTTTCAATATTATCCACTACTCCTGAAAACGAACAAAGGCTTCAAAAATCAATAACTGAAGATCCGGCATTGCAAAAAGTCAAGTATTACACACTATTTGGTTGGCCCGAACATAAGAAAAATGTCCCTTCAACAGTTAAAAAATATTGGGAAATAAAAAATGATATATATTTACATGAAAACATTTTATTTTATAAAAACCGACTTATAATACCAGAAGCTCTCAGACTCGAATTCTTAAACCTCTTGCATAATTCTCATCAAGGTGTAGTAACCTGTAAAAAGATAGCCCAAGAAACAATTTACTATCCTGGACTTTCATCTGATATAGAAGAATTTGTACTATCCTGTATCACATGTCAAATGTACTCCCGTAGCAACCAAAGAGAACCACTAACACCACATGAAGTAGTTAATCTTCCCTGGAAAAAAATAGGAATGGACTTTAAATCCCTAGGCTCACAAAACTTTATAATTGTTGTAGACTACTTTAGCAAGTTTGCTACAGTAAATAAGTTGACAAGCAAAACTGCAGAATCCGTTATAACTACATTAAAAAATATATTTTCCATATTAGGACTTCCATTGGAAATATTTAGTGATAATGGCCCACCTTTTGACTCCTATGAGTTTAAGAATTTCGCCAAAAATTATGACATAAAATTAACAACATCCAGTCCATATTTTCCTCGATCTAATGGAATGGTTGAAAGAATGATACAAACTGTTAAAGGGCTACTAACCAAAGCTATTGAAGAAAAACGAGACCCTCTTCTTGCTGTATTAAACTACAACACTTCCCCTAAGCAGATGCTTCCAGCTCCTAGTTATTTATTAATGGGACGAAGGCTAAGAACGACACTCCCTACTAGCCTTAAACTTCTCATACCAAATTATCCTATAAAAGATGCGCTTAAATCTCTGAAAAATCAGCAAACACAACAAAAGAAATATTTTAACAAAGGTACAAAGAAACTGCCATCTCTAAATCCTGGAAAAGAAGTACTAGTTCAGGAAAAAACCAGACAATGGAAATCAGGTACTATTATTGAAAAATCAGGCCCAAACGACTACAGTATTCTAGTAAACGATACACCCTATAGGAGGAACAGACAACAGATTAAGGAATTCAGAGAGCGACCCCCAGAATTACTCGCTTCACCTGACATAGATATTGCCAATACTCCTATAAAAAGAAATCTAGAAACCCCTCTGTCAATCAGAAAAAGTGAAACTCCTGAGCAGGAAAGTACAGAACCCGAATCAGGAAATGAAGGGGTAAGCGCACAATTAGAAATGGAGGCACCAAATAACCCAACAAGAACAAGAAGTGGACGAATTGTGTTAACTCCTAAGCGTTTGAATTTATAAAGTGTTCCGAACTTGCGTTCTGTATTAGTGTTTTTAATATATCTTGTTTAATCATTTTTCACATTTTGTATTTTAGTGTTTTGAATTCATAAAATGTTATTGTTATGCACCGTGTTCCGAAATTGCGTTTTTTATTAGTGTTTTTAATATTTCTTGTTTAATCATTATTCACATTTTGTATTTTTTATTAAAAAAAAGGGCGTGTCATATATGTTGGATGTAAGTTGGCACCACTGTGCATGTTGGCACTCACTGTGTAAATTGGCAACTGTGGAATGACAGTTCAGTTTCAACGGTAAAAGATACACACTCAACATATTGGTACGCTTAAATAAAACTAATGAAAACCAACATCTCAGTTGTTTCATTAAAGTAAATATTATACTTGGTATATTCTGAGAATGTTCCAAATGCATATAAAGTATATTCTCAGCATATGCACATTCTTAAAAAGCATATACTGAGAATATGCTAAGAATGTATAATTGTTATCTGGGTGTAAACCCATAGAAATGTCTAGCGAAATTACGCAGTTTTAGACAATGATGTTGGGCATTGGACCCTTCATGTCGGTCGTCAATTACTTAGGCAACGTTGCCAAATATAAAATAACGAACGTAACGCTTTAAACTTTAAAAACCACGACTTTATTACATTTCTTCTCGAAATCGGGAATGAATTAAAGACAATTATGAATAAAACCTGTTTATACGTAAATATTAATTTCTAAAATAAAAAAAATTGGGGAGAATTCCCCATTGCGTTTCAATATTTTGCCTGATTTCAATTTTTGATTTAAAACACGATAACGTAGGAGAAGAAGTTTGAAAACAATATTCCTGTCATCACGATTCATCATAGATTAATGATGGACTAAAGATTTTTCAGTTAAAAACGTACAAGGAAATTAGCACCTCTACATCTGGTGTAGTAAAAAAATGTGTTATTCCAGTCATCAAGAGTGTCCAGGAATTTATGACGAATTTTAGTTGTTGCAGCTACAAACTTCGAAGATTGTGGAATCAGTAAAGTTTAACAATCACTGCGGTTATGGGAAAACCGTAATTTTTGAGTAAACCTAAATAAAACTACAGTAATGAACTGTTACAGCACCAAGACGAACTATAAACAGTTATAGACCTAGAAGAAATAGTTGTATATGTCTTATCTCTGAAACGCATTTTGTCAGTGTCAAATGTAAAGGATGCAGAGTATATCACACCTTACATGCGGAAGACACAAAAAGAGTCTATAAATCATTACCAAGAAATAGATTACCAAACTGACTATATACAAGCAACAACAGTTAATGAAAAAACTAAAACATATATTAATTTCACAGCAATATTACGGTTTACCAAGGTATAACATCAAAAAGGAATAATTTAAAGAATTTCTAGAGACACAAGGAAATAGAAGGAGATAATTTCAAACGCGAAAAACACTCAACGGGATCTAGACTAACAACAACTAAAGATAAAGAACTTTTACTATCATGCAATCAATATAAATGTGAAACAATTTCTGGTTTTCCTATATATTGGCCGACAGATACTGGAAAAATTATTGATCTTATAGTCAGAAAAATGTCAATTATTTACTCGCTCTTAGAAGAAGCTTGAGATATGAACTCAGATCATTCATAATTTTTACACTAAGGCCGTTAAAATGTAAACTTAGTTTAAACTGTGAACCTAATTGTATAATCATTGGTTATTGTTAATCATAGTTTTAAAAATTACATTTGTTAAAATTAAACTCCTGTTAAAATTAAACACCTGAGCAGGTTGCTTCTTTTGTCTTTTAAAAGCTTTTTCATTCGATTTTTTATAGTTCGAACTATTATTTTCTAAATTTTCTAATTCAAACTTTTGTTATTTGAACTTATTTCACCAACTACTTTTCTTTTTCTTTTACTTCGCTTCAAAACAATTTTAATACCGCCGATTTGGAAATCTACTACATTAAACAAAATTGAATAGGATTCAATATGGCAACGTTGCAAACTAATTGACCGCTTATGTCAAAAAAGACAATTTCATGAGTTTACGCCAATTTACGTTTCGTTGCAGAAAGTTTTGTTAAAAGTTAGGTTAAACAGCAGGGGCGGCTTGTGACCAACATTTTGGGGGTTCACAGTAGCAGAACATAGCTCTCGGTACAGATGTAGGTAAAAATCTGTTAGTGTTTTAGGAAGGTATATTATAAACTTTCTAAAATACTGAAAGTTTTTTTCATACATCTGTACTGATATCTATATTCTGTCACTGTGAACCCCCAAAATTTTGGCCACGAACTGCCAGTGTTAAACAGTAAAAATGGTGGCATTTTAATAATATAAATTATAATTGCAAAATGAAAGATACGTTTCCGTTTAAAATTTTTGTTGAAATATAAAATTTTTATCAAATTCGTGCATCTGGATTCTTCACCGGAACCAGTGATACATTCGTTTTTACAAGATTGGACTCGTTATATATTTGTCCAAGCTTCCTGTTTGTCTTGAAACAGTAGCATAAATTTTATTTTTAGCAATGATATGTCTATTTTCTTGAGATTACAATAATTCATTAATACATAATTATAATTCGGATGTAGAGAAATTACTTCATTTTTATTTTCTCTTAACATTTTGTTTATCCATTTTTTATTTTTTGACAATTTTAAAAAGAAGTCATCTCAATCAATTGTATTTCGCGGAACATCTGAACTTTTTTAAAAATTCGGTACTACCAACTACTGATATTAAACAGTGATTTATAAATCAAATGCTAAAATGACAATAATGTATTCAATAATGCTTAATCATGATTAAGTTACTTGATTAATTTAACCACGTCATTTCATAATCATGTGTTTAATCAGAGACAGAAAGTACCGACCCTAATTCTAATAAATGGTTAACACATCGCTGTCTTAACAAGTTCTGATGAACTCCATATAAATTGGCCACGTTTGCTGTTATAGTGAGTTTAAGTTAAGAGATCGTTCAGCACACATAAGTCTTGTACATATAAATTAGTATTTAAAGTATTTAAATTGATATATTAAATAAATTAACGTTACAGTTTGTTACACAGTTCAGAGTTAGGAGGGACGAGGGATTTTTTTTCACATTTTTATTACACATTTTTTTACACATTTTGTTTTTTTATTGGTTTATTGGAGACATAAGAGACATACGTAGACAAACAAAATATTTACCTGGACAATTCCGACAAGAATAATGACATCTCTGACAGCCGTATTCCGTTTTATAATAACCTTCAGGACAATCTGGTCGACACTCGCCGGACAACAATTGCCAGCCATTAGGACAACTAACACATTGATCTGGGCCCGGACCGCTGCAAGTTTTGCAGCTCATATAACATCTTAGGCAAATGCCTTTATCGCTGTAGTATCCCAGTGCGCAGGTCGTTCGACATTCTCCACTTTGAAGCTACAATAAAAACGTAAATACAATTGTCATGCATAAAAATGAGATATGAAAGAGTCCAGGAATATATCCCTGCAGAACACTCACCTGTAATCCGATCTTGCATTCGGTACAATTCGTTTTAGCGACGCATCTGGCGCATGCGTGTAGACATGGTTCGCAGACTTGAATGTCTTTTTCGTTGTAGAATCCTTTATCACATTTGCCGACACATTTAGTGCCCTGCAGGATCAACGGACTAGCGCAGGATAAACAGGCTTTTTCCGTGGGACCGTCGCAGGAATCGCAGGTCGAATGGCACGGCTTGCAGAGGCTGCTGTCGTAGTATTGATCTGATAGAGAAAATTTACGTTAAAAAAAACACTCACAAAGGGAACGATAGTTTTAATTGTGTTACTAAAAGGCAAATGAAAATTTTCTACATCTTGTAATGTTCGTATTTGCATCCATCCTTTTAATACTGTTTCTGGCGATGTTCCAAAAGATTTCTGGTCAGTATAAAACGTTTAATGTGCCGTTTAGTGAAAATTACTTCTAGAGGAGTATAAACATTGTAACTTATTTATTCTGTCTTTTTGTAGAAACTATTAATAATAATAATAATAATAGATATTTATACACCAAGTGAGTTAAATGAATGTTTATTCGCGAGAAGAAATTAGATCTTAATTTCTTCCGAGCGAATAAAAATTAATTAACTCACTAGGCGTATACAATATTTTATCCAATTTTGACATTTTTAGATCAAAATATAGGTGTTTTTTAAATTTAATTTTGTATTTAACAACCATTTATGGCAATGTAATTGACAAGTAGTCGGTGCAATTTATATTAAATCTGGTTGTTAGGCGTTGTCAGGGCTTGTTTATTTAGACTTTGTTTAGAGTTAGTTGAATATTACTGTTACTGACTAAAATCTACCATATAAAACATCGGCAAAAGAGTTTATTTTCGTTTAAAATTTTGGAAAAATGGATATCATAGATTTTGTGAACGAAGAACTTGTTCCAGAAGAAGTGTTAAATGCAGCAAATGAGGCTTTAGCAAAAATAGTACCCAATAAATCTAAATCATTGTACGAGAAGGAGTATATGCTTTTTTGCCAATGGCGAAACAAAAAGCAGGTTAAAGGAGTTAACGAGAAGATAATAATGGCATACATATCTGAAAAATAAAAAAATGTGAAGTCTTCGACATTATGGTCCTATTATTCGCAACTTAAGAAGATGTTGTTCGTTAAAGAAAATGTGGACATAAGCAAGTAGGTTTTTAAATTATATTAAAAAATAGACGTTTGAGTTAATAAAAGGTTACTTTTTCAGATTTCACCAAGTGAAAGCATTTTTAAAGACCAAAGAAATCAAATGTATTTAGCAGAGAAGACGTCGAAAAATTTTTAGATACTGCTCCTGATGACAAGTATTTACTGCTTAAAGTAGCTTTGATAATGGGAGTTTCAGGAGGCTGCAGAATTTGCGAACTGGTAGTAATGTCCACTAATAATGTTGACGACAGAGGAAGTGTATTAGTGGTGAAAATTCCCGACACTAAAACTTACAAAGAAAGAATATTCACTGTTGTCAATGGAAGCAATAATATCAATGCAATTGATGTGTTTCAGAAATATAAGAAATTGCGCCCGCAAAATGTACCACATACACGACTATTCCTAAACTATAAAAATGAAAAATGCACGGTACAGCCTGTAGGTTTCAACACATTTTCCAAAATGCCTCAGAAGATAGCAGAGTTTCTTGGCTTAGAAAATGCGGGAGACTATACTGGACATAGTTTTAGACGATCCTCTGCCTCTTTGCTGGCGGAAGCAGGCGCCGATTTATCGATATTAAGACATGGAGGATGGCGTTCTGACTCAGTTGCAGAAGGATATGTTGAACAGTCTATAAGAAATAAAATAGAAATTTCAAGAAAAATATTGGGTAATGAAGTTGCAGTAGGTGCACCTGAAAAAGCTGGGACAGTAGCCAATAATAAATATAATATATCAGAGAATACATTACAAATTTCCAATTTAAATAATGAACCCATCGCCATCGGTACAAACATCGATTCTAACAATGGACCCATCCATTCAAACGTAGTTTCTAATGTTTCAGAGCAACTAACTATTCCATTAAACAACGAAATGAAGCTCCAGTTTAATAATTTAAATAACTGTAACTTTTACTTTGATTATAAAAAATAATTATGCAAAGATAGTTTCCATTGTAGTTTCCATTAAGTATTATTGTTTTCATTGTTTCCATAATTATTGTTACAAGTTGATTTTTATAATAAAACTTTTAGACTGATTCCATTGTTTATTATATTGGCTTTACATAATATATGCACACATGCCTAAAGAGTGCTAATATCGATACCTAAATAGCGACTTCCACATTTGGCTGTCGACAGTAATATAGGTACATTATTAGGTTAACTACTCTTTTAGTTAGTTTAGTTAGTTAGTGAATAAAATTTTATTTGTTATTGTTGTTATGGAATTGATAAAGTCATTTTAATGTGTCAAAATTGGATAAAAATAATAATAAAAAATGTTTCTATTGGCTCAAATGAATTTTTACAATTTAAGAAAAAATAAAATGTATGTACGGCTAAAAGGCAGAGTTCAGTTTATATTATGCCGGTGCAATAATAGAACCTGCTCTTCCACAATTAACGAAACGAACTGAGAATGAATGTAGATTATTAAAATAAATAAATTTAATCAAAAATTTAGAATATATTATAGTATCTATACATCCAATACATATGTGTTATTTAATATAGTTCCAACTTTCTTTGAATGGTTTATTAAATCTTGATGATTCTATGTCTGTTCAATTATGGGTTATTTATTTTTTAATCAGTTGGGGATTTGTGAGCTTTTTTAATATATAAAAAACGCTGTTGCTAGGTACACGCTAAAGTGTACACAAATCAAAAAGTTATATACACGCGAAACGTCATATTGCTGTGGTGGGAGGTGTTTGTGTGAATGCGTGTTGTTTGTTTTCATTTACGCAGTGACGAGCAGCTATCAGTAGTATTTTATAAACCTAAGAAGCAAATTTCACATATATAAACAAATAATAATAATAATAATGCCGTCACAACAAGAAAATGTAGCAACGAATTCTCGTCACCAGAAAATTTCAATCTATTCCTGGCTACGCCGACCGGCATGGACACAACTCACCTACTCTGTCAAGACGTTTCGCGTGTATATAACTTTTTAAATTGCGTACAAGTTAGCGTGTACCTAGACACTGTATATAAAAAAACAGTATTCACCATGAAATACAATTATATTCGGATCAATTTGGCAATAACCTTAACACTCCAATTTTAGGGGGATGGTCGTAACAATATTTTTGGGACATAAATGTAGTTTATCATCTTAGTAATATTTGATAAAATTCCACAATAAAATAAACTAAAACTGAAATAAAACATCTATAAAAGACGTAAGTTTGAAAAAAAAGACAATAAAGCACCAATGAATGAAAATGAGGATTTGAAAAATTTTGGGAGAAACTGTTAAATGCATGTACCTACTTAATATGTGAAAAAATAATTTATCTTTATTTTGCTTTATTAGTAATCAGAAATACTTAACAATTCTGTGGTCGGCGCTTAAAAAGTAATAAGTCGATATTACACATTTTTAGAGAATGGCGCTGGAAAATTTTGGGACACATCAATAAGGATTTTTAGAATCCAAATCGACGATTTTTTGGTCCTGTAAAAATTAAAAAATATGTAGACATATTTTGTTTTAACTGTTTTATGTTACAAAATTTTACTGTTTATGTTTAATTATGACGTTTTGTCTTTCGCGGTTGCCCTTGTATTATTATATATGTTTTTGTGTACCTTATTTTTATGACTTTACAACGTATATAGACTCAGATCCTTTTAACTGCCTAAAATATAGACTCTTCTAAACCTATCTTGACTAAAAACTTAATTTACGTAAAAACAACTTATGACCTTTTAAGCGCCGGACACAGAATTGTTGAAAGGGTTTTATAGATACATTTCATGTGAAATAACAGAGAGATATATAAAAGGTGCCAATAAAGAAAGAGGAAATGTAAAGAAGCAACAATATAGAAGAATATGACAGTCGTAAATATGTTTCCAGAATATACTTAACAGTAGGTATTCATTTATTTTTACGGATATTTTCAAGAATCTGAGTGAACAATCAAGTTAGAATGATGCAAAAATAGAATTTCAAAATAAAGGGAAAAAAGAGTCTTAAAAGACAACAAAAACAAAAATTAAAAGAAAAGATTCGAAAAATTAAATGTAGATTTTGAAATTCTGAAAATGAAAAATCCCTAATTCCCCCTACGAAATTATGAAAATTTACATTCTCATATTCCCAAGTGAAAATAAACCAAAGAAAAATTGAAAAAGCTGAGAAAAACAGAAAGAGACCGGGCCTCGAACCTGAAACCTCAGAATTAGGCTGTCTGCGCGTTAACCAATTAGGCTACCTCACATACCTCCCAGGTAAGTAATAGAGATATTTTAATTCTGTAAAAGACAGTTCACAGAGCACTAAAAGAGCTTTAGTTTTAAATATAAATTGATTTTATATAGGTCAATATGTAGATGGCGCTGTGCTCAATAATTTTTTTTTCGATGGGAGAAACTTTCTTGTGTAGCGCATCTTGTAAAAAATGCATTTTTAAGCAGATTTTGTTCTATGAACTAATTCGATAAATCTAGCCATTTTTGATATACAGAGTGGGTCACTCAAAACAGATTCATCCTGTTTTTCATCATTAATCATTGGATTTTAATAAAATTAAAAACATTTTTACAATACAAACATCCGTCATGAGTCAACCTTCTCCCTTGCACTTCTCCAACACCTAAATTTTAAATAGGTAATGTACCATGTATGGCACATCATTGAAAAGGTAATTTAATGGAGGATTCAGAAATATTTCTGTACATTTCGTTACCTAAATTTTATCGCCCTCTAGCGGGATAAAAACTACTACGTATTATAGAGTGTGACATTACATCATTAAAAAGGGGAATTTAGAAATATGCCTGTTCATTGCGATACTTTTAATTGTACCGCCCTCTATCGGGATAAAAAACTGTACGTATTATAAAGTGACATCTTATTTAAAAATAAATTTAATTACTAACATTAATATAAATATTAATATAAATATTAATATAAATATTAATATAAATATTAATATAAATATTAATATAAATATTAATATAAATATTAATATAAATATTAATATAAATATTAATATAAATATTAATATAAATATTAATATAAATATTAATATAAATATTA